CAGTCATAAATGATTTTCCTGAAAACGTTAAGGTTTAAATTAAATCATATCTTCCCAAGACTTGCTTTAGAAACTTTGTAATTTTTAAAACATGTGATTAGAATTCACAATACACATGCTCGTTTCATTCAAGACTCACTATGAAAATATAAAGAGCAAATTGTGAGGACTGTGGTTTGCTCACATCCATCATCTACAAGACAGTATCTACAGCGCAGCTGCTAAAGCCCAGGGCCTGAAGCCAATACCATTCACTGGAACACCTCGCTCTCACTTTGGTCATGAAACGTTACTTTTCTGTGTCTTGGCTCCATCCTCAGTAAAACAAAGATAATGACAGCGATGCTATGGTGCAGTGGGTTAACGCCCTGGCCTGAAGCGCCGGCATCGCATATGGACACTGGTTCAAGTCCCTGCTGCTCCACTTCTGATCCAGCTCTCTGCTATGGCCCTGAAAAGCAGAAGATGGCCCCAGTCCTTGGGCCCCTGCACCCGCATGGGAGACCCAGAGGAAGTTCCCAGCTCCTGGCTTCAGACTGGTGCAGCTCCAGCCACTGGGGAGTGAACCAGTAGATGGAAGACCTCTCTCTCTCTCTCTCACTCTCTGCCTCTCCTTCTTCCTCTGTGTAACTGACTTTCAAATAAATAAATCTTTTTTTAAAAAAAAGTTTATGTTCTAGACAAGAACTCTCTTTTTCATTTATCTTTCTCTCCACAACTGCATTCACGTAAGTGAAAACTTTTCTTTCTGCTCATTTTATTAAAATGCAAATTTTGTGAAGTAATGTTAAAACCCAAGAGTACTTTGCAATGCTATAATTGGAGCTGACACAGACCTCAGTAAGGAAAAAGTGAAAGAACAGAATTGGAACCTCAGACTCCCAAACCTAGAAATGAGGAGAGTCCTCAAGAAGTTCATTAAAAAAATATTAAACAATAAATTTATTTTGGCATAAACAATTTTGAAATCCATATATCCCTTAAAATTCAGGGGAAATGCATATTATGGGGAAACTGCATATCTTTAGTGTCTTTTGACATTGCCTTTAGTAAAAACCCACCTTCTGTGGGCAAAACATCTCATTAAGGATGACATTTGTTCAACAGAATCATCAATGTTGTAGGCACATCTCAGGCAACTAACCAAGTCAAAGAAAACTGCTCACTGGTCACACTGCATTATTAAGGTGTCAAAATAATCTGCAGTATCAAAACTTTTTTTAACTGAAATTAACCTAATAATGGCAACATTTTTAAAAACAATATAAAAAAACTTTAACAACATTGTGACTTCACAAGAATTTTTAATTTGGGATTTGTAAACCTCATGAAACTAGCAAATGTGTGTGTGTGCCTATACACACATTTTTCTGGAAAAATGATCCAGTGTTTCATTAGAGTCTCAAAAAGGAGTGGAATTCCAAAAAGTTCGAGAATCGCTGCTATTCACAGTTCACAAATTTCTTTGTATTCTTAACGTTAATTTCAGAAATGAACCTGTTCACATAAAATTAGGCAGTATAATTCTAAATGCACCTCAAAATTCCTCATGTCCCAAACAACTGTGAATGTGTGCAACAGAAATTCACAACTACAAAAACATTTCAAGTTACCCCGAAGTTCTCCAGGTCTACAAGCCTTTCTCAGAGAGGTAATTATGGGGTAACGAGAAGGAGCAGACAGGAACCACTAGAAAAGGAGAGCCTACGTTGACCACCTCTTGAATAATCAGGATGGAGGGAAAACAGAGGATATTAGAGAACAAGGACAAACCTCTAAAAATAGACGAATCGTTACAACTTCCGACAGAGAAAACTGAACTTCAGTTCTCTGTCGCTAAGTTTATGAGGAAGGATCTGTCACACAAACCATCGCAGCCCTGCAACTTCAAAGACCTTCGTCCTCCCAGTTTACTCAAAAGTTTATAACAACGCCCACATCGTCCAGACAATACAAGTACTTTGATTTTTTTTACAAGCGCCTTATAATTTAATTTCTTATTGTTACAACTTAGTAGCAAAACTACTTCACGAGACTTCCTTCCAAGTATAGGCTGCGACTGGCGACTATTGTCCTTAAAATAATCCAATCCCGGTTAAAATGACAAGCAGCCTTCAGTCCAAACCTACGAACCTTTAAACCTGGCATCAGTTCAAACACAAACAAGAAATTCTAATCCCAGCCGCCGGAAGGAATCCTGAGGTTTGTTTCCTCTCCTCGCCCTTGGAGACCGCACCTCTTTTGTGCGCCAAGGGTCTGAAGGTCTCCTGAGCTCAAAGTGCAGTGACCAGCCCGGCCGCGACTCCCCGGCAGCACCGCCCGGCTGAGCCTCGGGCCGGCGCCTGCCCAGCGGCGGAAACGCCGGCGGACGCCGACGGCCGCGATCACCGAAGGGGTCCCGACGCCAGGCGTGGTCCCGCCGGGCCCGAAAGCAGCCCCAGGGGCGCGCCGTCACCGGAGACCGGGCCTCAGGCTGGCGGGGGCCAGCAGAGACAGAGGCCGGGGTCCCAGCTTCGGCTCGGACCCTACCTCTAAGCTCGACAGCCGGCGGAGACAGCAGGCGGCCACACCTGGCGGAGACCCTTGGCGATCAGCTCTCGTCTTAGCGCGGCGCCCGTTGGACTCTCCCAGAATTCGCCGCCGCCCCTCCTCCCGGGCCCAGGGCCACCTCCACGTTCCGCTCCAACGTGGCAGCCGCAGCCCCGCCTGCCGGCTGGCCGGCACTTCCGGGTACACGTCTCGCCCCGCCCTCCCCGGCGTACGGCCCGCCACGGCACTTCCGGGAGCGGTGGCCGGCGGGGCGGGGCAGCGGTGCGATTCCCTGCGGTGCCTCGCGTCCTCGCGCACGCGACACTGGCGACCTTTTTTCTGCTGGACTGCGCGTAGGGTGCGGTAGCCAGGACCACGAGCAAAAGACAGAGGCCTGCGGGGGCGTTCCCAGCTGGCTGAGGAACGGTCGGGGCCCACAGGAACGCCACGTAGCGCTGGTCCTGTGAGGCGTCAGCAGCCTTTGGCGACACTGCCAGCACCAGTCCACGCGAAAACCGGGCTGCAAGGACCTCCTTATTGCAGTTTGTAGTCGACTGGGTCCTTGATACGGCTTACAGCGTTCTATTGTCTTGTGTTTTGAGAACTTACATAAAGCCAAACGATCCGGCCACGTCCACAGGGTATCCTGGACACACTTGGCCTCCGCAGTGAGGCAGAGAGGGGCGAGGTGTTAGTATCCTTTGATGCGCTCGCCCACGGCCACTGGGCCATCTAGCTTCCCCGGAGACGGAAATCTAATGAGGTGCACTGCCTGCGTGTACTTTGAGCTTACAGTTATTTTACATTGAAGCCAGGACGATCACTTGGTGCAATAGCAAATTGAGCCCCGGTCTCCTTATTTATGGATTTCTCTTCCCCTTACCTCCTGTCGCCTTTCTTAACGACGCTCTCATTGGAAATACTGTTTCCTTTTTGTATCCAAGAGATAAGTAAAATACTGCAAACTCTCATTTTAACTACTAGCCTAGAAACATGTTTGCCCCCTTTCAGTATCTTACACATGCGGTTCAATCACAAAAGTGAGTTTATGTAGGATCGAAACAGACCCACTCAAGCAGATTACCAGTTTACAGTGGCTAATTTATAATGGGTTCTAAAAGGCTTTCCACTTTCTGGCTACGCTACAAAATTAGTTTACCTTTGCCAATAAAAATATGATTTAAGGGCTGACGCTGTGGCACAGCTGCGTAAGCCGCGGCCTGCAGCGCGGGTGGGATGCCGGTTGGTGTCCCAGCTGCTCCACTTCTGATCCATCTCCCCACTAATGTGCCTGGGAAGACAGAGAAAGATGGCCCAACTGCTTGGGACCCTGCACCAATGGGAGACCCGGAAGAAGCTCCTGGCTTTGTCCTGGCCCAGCCCAGGTCTTTGCAGCCTTTTAGGGGAGTGAACCAGTGGATGGAAAATCTTTAACTCTGCCTTTCAAATAAGTCTTAAAAATTCCCTGATTTAGGGAGTATAATGGTGAAGATTCTGCTGGTTGGGATACCTGTATCCCACATGGGGTGCCTGGGTTCGAGTTCCAGCGCCATTCTTGAATCTAACTTCCTGCTAACGTGCACCTTTGGAGGCAGCAGGGGATGGCTCAAGTGCTTGGGTCTCTGCCCTACACATGGAAGTTCTTAGCTCCTGGCTTTAGTCCTTGAGGAGGTTGTTAAGAATTTTCAAGGTAAATCAGCAGACTGCAGCATTCTTAAAAATAGAATCTGCGACTTAGAGGTGACACCATCATTTGAGCAGAGAGTATGTTAAACTTGTGAACTCTCATCTTACTGTCCCACCTCCAAAAGTCCCAGCTACTTGCAAATGTGCACTGACATGAGAAAAGGGCTCATTGGAGTGCCTGCTCTCCCTCAAGGTAATGATTTATTCAGTGGTTGGCTTCTGGTATCATCTAATGAAACGTTTGTGTATGTTCCTCTTGCGTTAAGTCTGCAGACTACAAAGCTCCCGCCCCCACTGAAGACCCTGGTTTTTGTATTTTTAAACAGTGGGGGAGAGGGAATCACACGACTTGAAAATTACATGAAACTTACATTCTAGTGCCCATAATAAAGGTTTATGGAAACACGTCCATGCTCAGTGGTTCATGTGTTGACTCTGGCTGCTTTTGCTGTATGAGGGTAGAGCTGAATGGCTGCCACAGAAATCAGACAGCCCTCAGAACCGAAAATACTCATCAGCCCTTTTTAGGAAAAACACTATGGGGACCAGTATGGGACACTCCAAGCCTATATCCTGTATGAGAGTTTGTGATACAGCTTCCTGCTAATGTGTCTGGGAGGCAGCAGATGATGGCCCAAGTACTTGGGTTCTTGCTATGCCCATGGAAGCCCCAGCTTGAGTTCCTGGCTCCTGGCCTGACTGCTGCAGGCAGTGGATGGAAGATACCCGCTTGTCTTTCCTCTTTCAGATAAATAAATCTTGAAAAATAAAATGCAAACAAGACATTCAATACCATGAAGTTTTATTTCAGAGCTTTGATATAGCAGCATACAAAGACAATCTGCAAAGGAAATATAAAATTGTAACTAATTCCAAGGATAAAACATAGCTGTTTGTAGACTCGCTAGCAGTCCTGGCTTTGACCATGCAAGGATAAACTGCAATGCATTCTTACTCAATGGGAAAATTTAAGATTGTTCAAACTTTAATATTTGTCAAAAGATTAAAAACTCTCATTACTTGCCATCTTTTCTATGTCCTGGCAAAACAGCTCTATGCCTTTCCAAGTTTGGTCAGTTTCCAAAATGTTATCCTTTGCACTTTCCGTGTCAAGAAATACCTCTGAGAGTTTCTTAAATACCAAGTTTTCGGTTGACATCACTTCCTAAGACATACTCATGCTTTGCATCCCAATCACTTTCCTCATTTATGCCTACAGGTTCACCTTCAACAAGTTTCCCCGGCTACAGAACTACGGCTGCCTCTTTAATAGCAGCGTGCTAACATTCTCATAGACAGCTCCATCTTCTACTACGTTCCCTCTGTACCTGCAGGATGATCTCAGACTACTGGCAAAGCAGGACAGCCTGTGATTCTGGAATCACAGTGCAAATTTCATGGGAACATCTTGACCTGAGCTTGCAGCTGCACCAGAAAGCTGAACATTATCAGTCCATGCTGACCTCTGATGATATCAGCTTCTAGTGGCAGGAAAATGTTATTTTTCAGTCTTATATTTACCAACATTTTCTTTCAATGTAGCAACTAACATGAAAGTTTTGGTCTGAATGTTAGCTAAACTGATTGAATCTTGCTTTAATTAGTTCAAGCCAACATAAAAATAAGCATTCCATTTCAACCAAAAGTGACTTTCTATTCCTAGTGCAATTTAAACAAGATGTTGAACCAGCTTTAACCTTTTTTTTTTTTTTTAAGATTTATTTATTTTATTTGAAAGAGTTACAGAGAGGAAAGGCAGAGAAAGAGAGTCTTCCATCTGATGGTCCACTCCCCAACTGGCCACAACAGCCGGAGCTGTGGCGATCCGAAGCCAGGAGCCAGGAGCTTCTTCCGGGTCTCTCATGCGGGTGCAGGGGCCCAAGCACTTGGGCCATCTACTGCTTTCCCAGGCCACAGCAGAGAGCTGGATCAGAAGAGGAGCAGCCGGGACTAGAACCGGCACCCATATGGGATGCCAGAGCTTCAGGCCAGGGTGAATCTGCTGTGCCACAGCGCAGGCCCCTAACTCTTCTTTTTACATTCATCTGACTTTTTCAGCAATTCATACTGTAGTTTCATGTAGGCCTAATCCTTGGCTTATCTTTGTTTTGCTGTCATTATGTTCACATCTTTCTAATCACATCCAAGTTCACTTCCAGCTATCACTTTTTCTTTGCTAACCTGCCATTTTTGTTGACCAATTCTCTTTTGATGCGCAACTGTCACATAAATTTAACCTCTGGAAAACAAGGAAGCAACACACTATGTACTTTGCTGTGCTGTGTGAACCAAGTAACATGCTCTGTTACTGAGTTCACATATCTTATTTGCATAATGATATGAATGGCTAATAACAAAGTTTATGCACCTATTCTCAGCTCATATTGTGAAACTGAAACGTTAACCATGTTGGGGGATTCATATCATTTACTGAACTGATATAACTAATAACATACTGCAACTGTGCAAAGCAAGGACTCCTGTACGTGACAGGAACTCAATAACACAGTAGTCAGTTAACTACTAACCAAGCTTAGTCCTAGATCAAATGAAAACGAAGCTTTTCTGAAAGAATGTTACTTTTAGGACTGAACTACTCACTGGAGCTAGAACAAGTATTTAGAGATAATTTAATGCAGAATTCTTCAGATTGGGATTTGCAGGTGGTCTAAAGACATTCTTTTGAGAATTAGGCCTCCTCCCCTCCTTTCAACAACCTTGAGGTCTCCAGCAGTAAAGTTCTACAAAAAAGAAAAACAAAGAAACAAAACCATCACAGGACTGGCATTGTGGCATAGTGGGTAAAGCCTCCACCTGTGTCACTGGCATCCTTATGGCTGTGGTTCGTGTCTCAGCTGCTCCACTTCCCAGCTAGCTCCCTGCTAACGGCCTGGAAAAAGCAGCCGGAATATAGCCCAAGCATTTGGGACCCTGCACCCATGTGCGAGACCTAGAGAATCTCCTGGCTCCTGGCTCCAGCCTGGCCGAAATACACATCACGGGAAGTCAAACAGTAGTTGGCTCATCTCTCTCTTTCAAATAACTATATCTTAAAAACAAATAAAAAAACAAGGTACAGGACGGTATGGTATAAACATCTGACTTGTTCCACAGTAATCAATACTATGTTTATAGTTCGGCCAAACAGCAGCATCTATTTCATTCATCTTTTATGATTTTTGATTGCATTTATTCATAAATCTTTTTGTTAAAGGCTATAAACAACATTTATATCAACTTTCAGGTTTCTACAAATTTTTTTAAACGATTTATTTTATTTATTCAAAAGAGTTACAGAGAGGTAGAGACAGAGAGAGGTCTTCCATGCTCTGGTTCACTCCCCAGATGGCTGCAACAGCCAGAGCTGCGCTGACCAGAAGCCAGGAGCCAGGAGCTTCTTCTGGGTCTCCCACGTGGGTGCAGGGGCCCAAGGATTTGGGCCATCTTCCACTGCCTTCCCAGGCCATAGCAGAGAGCTGGATCGGAAGAGGAGCAGCAGGACTAGAACTGGCGCCCATATGGGACGCCAGCACTTCAGGCCAGGGCGTTACCGCACTGTGCCACAGCAACAGCACAGCACATTAAATTTGTAGAAATTTAAGAAACAGAAAATTAACTTATGTCAACATGAGTATTCCCAAGAATTTTCCCACTTCAATGAGGCTTCACATTTGAGAAATGTCTACAAGATGCCTAATCAATGACACAACTGAGATTTGTGATGTCCAGCTTCCTACCACCTTCCCATCTACTGTTCTTTAACTAAAGCTGTAAGATACAGGACAGTCAGATATTGGTGTAACTAAGAGTCATTTATAAAATACCCAATAGTTTAGTAAATTTAAACCCTAGAGGCCGGCGCCGCGGCTCAATAGGCTAATCCTCCACCTTGCGGCGCCGGCACACCGGGTTCTAGTCCCGGTTGGGGCGCCGGATTCTGTCCCGGTTGCCCCTCTTCCAGGCCAGCTCTCTGCTATGGCCAGGGAGTGCAGTGGAGGATGGCCCAGGTGCTTGGGCCCTGCACCCCATGGGAGACCAGGAAAAGCACCTGGATCCTGGCTCCTGCCATCGGATCAGCGCGGTGCGCCGGCTGCAGCGGCGGCCATTGGAGGGTGAACCAACGGCAAAAGGAAGACCTTTCTCTCTCTGTCTCTCTCTCTCACTGTCCACTCTGCCTGTCAAAAAATAAAAAAATAAAAAAATAAACCCTAGAACATAAGACCTCTAAGGATTTCAATGGAGGTGGGCACTTGATACAGCAGTTGAAAAGACAGTTGGAATGTGTGTATCCCATATCTGATGTGGCTGAGTTCAAGTCCCGGCTCCACTCAATTCCAGCTGCTTGAGGTGCACCTTGGGAGGCAGCAGATGCAGCATCAAGTGGCTGGGTCCCTGCTGCCCACATGGGGAGTTCCCACTTCCCCAACATTTGGGCAGATAGGAGCTCTCACCGTTTCTCATCAGGGGATGAAAGGATTACGTCGGTATTTCTAAGAGAAGCTCCCCTTCAACTATCAGTCCTGAATCTAATATTCTAACTTGGAAAATCATAGTAATGCTAACTTTGAAAGCTAAAAAGGGAACATTTTTAGTTCAGGGTATAATGTCTACATTATGCCAACGTTAGCTACATTCTAAATGTCAATTTTTTCCTCAGTTGTGACTTTTTCTGTGCTTTTGACAAAACCAGTAAAATTATAAATCCCTTACCTTTACTATATAAGTCTTCAAATTCTTGATCAAATAAATCTGACAAATGATGTTCTCTAAAACACTCTTCGATTTAATTCCTAGAAGGACAAACATTCAGATAGGCCAATCAACGCACAGAAAATTAGATCAGATGCACATACATAAGTCTCCTGATTATTTTTAATGTCCTCATCCACATACATTAATCACAATCAGTCATGATGTGAACAGCAGTGGAAAAAGTTTAATCATTGGACATTTCTATTCATAAGGTTTTTATTGCTGAGCTCTTTAAAAATGTACATTAACAAACTATATTTTAGTAAATTTCAATTTTTTTTTTTTTTTTTTTTGACAGGCAGAGTGGACAGTGAGAGAGAGAGACAGAGAGAAAGGTCTTCCTTTGCCGTTGGTTCACCCTCCAATGGCCGCCGCTGCAGCCGGCGCACCGCGCTGATCCGATGGCAGGAGCCAGGATCCAGGTGCTTTTCCTGGTCTCCCATGGGGTGCAGGGCCCAAGCACCTGGGCCATCCTCCACTGCACTCCCTGGCCATAGCAGAGGGCTGGCCTGGAAGAGGGGCAACCGGGACTAGAACCCGGTGTGCCGGCGCCGCAAGGTGGAGGATTAGCCTATTGAGCCACGGCGCCGGCTCGTAAATTTCAATTTTCTAATGTACAGCAGTTAAGGCTTCCAATTATAATGACTGGAGAAAAGAACAAAGATTATTTCAGGGGCAGATACAGTGGTTAGGACATCAGTTAAGACTGGGGAGTGAACCAGCAGATGGAAGACCTCTCTCTCTGCTTCTCCCTCTGTCTGTAAACTTTGCCTTTAAAGTGAATAAATCAATCTTTAAAAAAAAATTAAAATAAAAAAAATATGCTTATACCTGGGGCCAGGGCTGTGGCATAGCAGGTTAAGCATCCACCTGCAGTGCCAGCATTCCATATGGGTGCCAATTTGAGTCCTAGCTGCTCCACTTCCAATCTAGCTCTGGCTGATGGCCTGGGAAAGCAGCAGAAGATGACCCAAGTGCTTGGGTCCCTGCACCTAAGGGAGGGAGACCTGGAAGAAGCTCCTGGCTCCTCCTGATAGGTGCAGATCCAGCTGCTTTGTAGCCACTTGGGGAGTGAACCAGCAGGTGAAGACCCCTCTCTCTGTCTCCCCCTCTCTCTGTAACTATGCCTCTCAAAAAAATAAATACATCTTAAAAAAAAAAATATTCTGGGGGCCAGCGCTGTGGCCTAGTTCCAGTTGCTCCTCTTCTAGTCCAGCTCTCTGCTGTGGCCCAGGAGGGCAGTGGAGGATGGCCTAAATGCTTGGGCCCCTGCACCCCCATGGGAGACCAGGAAGAAGCACCTGGGTCCTGGCTTTGGATTGGTGCAGTGCCGGCCATGGCAGTCATTTGGGGAGTGAACCAATGGAAGGAAGAGCTTTCTCTCTGTTTCTCTTAGTGTCTATAACTCTACCTGTCAAATTAAAAAAAAAAAAAAAAAAGATTCTTATACCTTGCATAACAGAATGTCTGGGTTCAAGTCCAAGATCCGCTATAGATTCCAGCTTCCTGCTAATGCATGCCCTGGGAGGCAGCAGGTGATGGTTCAAGTAGCTGTGTCCCTGCCAACCACATGGGAGACCTGGATGGAGTTCCAGACTCCTGGCTTCAGCCTGGCCCAGCCCTGGCCATCCTGAGTGTTTGATGAGTGAACAGATCGATGAGGCCTCTCTCTGTCAAATAAACAAATAAATTCAAATAAACAATTTTTAAAAGATTATTTCAAGTACAATATGATACCTTCTTGCTGCTCCTCCGCACGCGGAGGAGCCGCACCGGACCGGGCGCTTGTTGTTCCCTTTTTTTTTACAAGTCCTTTCTATAGTAAAGTAAGAATAAGTAAACAGCAAACTCCCAAAGCAAGAATGAGTAGAGAGAAATGAGAAAGAACGAAGTAACGAACTTCCCCGCGAACTCTCCAACCAACCCACACACCCATGCCGTCTCTCTCCTCCTATATAGTCCTCCTCCGCCAATCCCAACTCGGCTGCCCACACGCTGAGCACGCCGCTCTCCTCCAATCAGGAGCAGCTCCTGCAGCTTGTCAAGTTGGTGAGAGGCAGCTGGGTAGAAGCTGTTTACTCCTCTCCCAGCGCCATATTGTGGGAGAGCAGATGCATAGAATAAGTCTTAATTCCAGTAACAGTCTAGTCCGAGTTGCTCCCCACACTTCTTTGTATAGATTATCTCACACTAACTTGGAGATGTCATGTTCTTAGCATCAACCCTAGTAGAAGTTAACCATACCTTACTATATTCTAATGCTGGTTAGTCCTTGCTTTGTAAGTACTGCTATTCTTATTCAGTAGATTTTCAACTATCACAAGCACTGAGATTAGATGAAAAAGAGGACGGTTATTACTGCTAACAAAGAACTTCTGAGTGGTGATGAAAAGGTAAGATTCCAAAGTTTACAAATCCCAGGCACTAATTAGTATTTTGCCTATGAGATATACTTTGATTGTCTGACAAAGTCCACTTCTCATGAAGGGGGGCAGAGGTTACAGGGGGAGAAGAGATGCAAGTACTTGCAAAACATACACATCATAATGGATAAAAATCAAGTTTAAAAGAAAAAGGTCAAACTGTTCAAGGATGCTGCATTTAGTTAACTGAACTACATTCCTTACACATAAGTAATTGTACCACATTCCTTGAAACAACACTAAATACAAAATTCAGTCTTTCCAACTTAGTACCATCACAATCAAGAAAGTATTTAATTAAAGTATGGTGGCCAGACTCCAGGTTAGTGTCCCAAATGACTGTCCCCCCTTTAGATACCCACACCCTTGTACAGTCCCTTCCTACCTGTACTAGGACAGCCTCTGTGAACAACAGAGCAAGGCAGAGGTGACATGTCCTTCCAGAGTTTTAAAAGGTAAGCTTCTATCTTGGACTTTTTCTCTTCCATCTTTCCCTCTGCGGAAGGCCAGCTGCTGAGTTCAAAGACAGCCTATGAAGTTCACATGTCAAAGAAATAAAATTCTTCAGACCAAAGCTAGCATGGAACCAAGGCTTGTTAAGTTAAGAGCTTGGAAGCTGGTACCCTACTGCTACCAGGTCAACTCTCCAGGCACCAACTGCATGAGAACACCATAGATCAGAACCACAGGAACTTACCCGCAGATTCTTGATCCACAGAAAGTGCCAAGTAAGTGTATGTTTTTCTTTAAAGATTTATTTACTTATTTGAAACTCAGAGTTATACACCGAGAGAAGGAGAGGCAGAAAGAGAGAGAGAGGTCTTCCATCTGCTGGTTCACTCCCCAATTGGCTGCAACAGCCAGAGCTCTGCCAATTCAAAGCCAGGAGCCTGAAGCTTCTTCTGGGTTTCCCATGTGGGTGCAGCGGTCCTAGGACCTAGACCATCTTCCACTGCTTTCCCAGGTCATAGCAGAGAGCTAGATTGGAAGTGCAGCAGCCAGGACTTGAACCGGCCCCCATGTGGGATGCCAGCACTGCAGGCAGCAGCTTTACCCACTACACCACAGCACCAGCCCCAATGTGTGTTGTTTTATAACTAAGGTTAACTAACACAGAGGATCAATCCACATCCATATCCAAAAAGCACAAAGACCAAATTAGGAATTAATGAAAAAATTCGGGATTTTTAAAAATTTGGTCACCAAAAACCTCAAAACCCCAAGACTTTCTAAAACAAGAGTGTGTCAGTTATACAGACAATAAATGAAAGCTTCTAGTAGAAACAGCCAGGAATTTGACAAGAATAGTTCCAAAAACCAGTCCCAGAAAGTAAAAAGTCTGTATTGGCTTTGTAAGGTTATTGTGAGATAATAGAAGCCCTCAAAAACCAGAGAAAATGTGTATTATGAAAAACTGTGTGTGAATTTCAAAAGCTTTTGCACCCAAATAAACATCTTTCAAGTCCATTTTCCACACTTTTTGAAGTACCCTCATAATTCATACAAGGTTAGCAAAATGAATGACATACAATACAATATAGCTATTATTATTCTCTCCCCCAACAGCCTAAATTAGAGACTCTGTATCATAAAATAGATTTCACCAAAGCCTTTGCCTTTATCAACCCACTTTTACTTGAATAATCTTCCACTTCCAAGTCACTGCTTTAGATGCAAAAATACGTAATATATTTAAAACTGAAAGATAAGGGTGAGTGTCTAGTGATTAAGATGTCGGTTGAGGGGCCAGGGCCGTAACACAGTAAGTTAATCATCCTCCTGTGGCACCAGTACCCCTTATGGCGCCGGTTCTAGTCCCAGCTGCTCCTCTTCTAGTCCAGCTCTCTGCTGTGGCCTAGGAAAGCAGTAGAAGATGGTCCAAGTGTTTCAGCCCCTGCACCCACATGGGAGACCCAGAAGAAGCTCCTGGATTCGGATCAGCGCAGCTCTGGCCATAGCGGCCATTTGGAGAGTGAACCAGCGGACGGAAGACCTTTCTCTCTGTCTCTCCCTCTCACTGTCTATAACTCTCAAATAAATAAAAAAAAATCTTAAAAAAAAAAAAAAAAAAAAGATGTTGGTTGAGATGGCTGTGACCCACGCTAGAGTGCCTGGGTTTAGTACTCAGTTCCAGCTCCTGATTCCAGCTTCCTGGTAGTGCAGAACCTGGGAAGCTGATGGTTTAAGCACCTGGGTTCCTGACACCCACATAGGAGACCTGGATTGAGTTCTTGGCCCTCAGCTCTGACCCAGCCCAGCCCTAGCTGCTGTGGGCATTTGGGGAGTGAAAAAGCAGACGGAGATTGCTTTCTGTCTCTCTCCCAAATAAGTAATTTTCTTAATAGCAAAGATATAGTACCTTTCCCACATATTTCCAATAATTATCTTCCAAGATCAACATCTCCAAGAGAACAGCTCCTGAAAAGAGATTTTTAAACAATTACAGTTGTCAACGCCTTTTGTGAATCACAATTATGTTTATGACTTCTTACATATCCTCATTTAAGTTTTTGATAATCACAGCGGTTCATTATGTGAACAGCAGTGAAAAGGTTTAATCACCGGATATGAAGCTACTAAAGCAACACTGTAACCAAAGGATCACGTCAAGGTCACCAGTAAAACAAATTAAACAATAGTAACGGAAAGCATATAGAAATTAGAAACAAATGTAATGATACACAACTCAAATGGTTCCACAAGGGACTGAATACTCCTTACCCAGATGTACACCAAGAATATTTCGTGCAGTGACCTCCTGTGGCTTCTATAAAAGTGAGTGATTTGTTTTCATTCAATCAGTCTATGGTGTCTGTTATGTTAAAAAACCATTTTCAGTAACTCCTTTGCAATTAATCATTAGGAGCATGTTGTCAGAATAATGTGAGAACCACACTGTTTTATCTTTTCTAGGAGAACAAAAGTAACTGGAACCCAATTAAGCAGGAAATAAAAAACTGTCATCACTCCAGAGGCTGAGCTGGCAGCAACACTCACAACTCCTGTGTTAAGGGAATGGCAGATGGTGGCCACATTCCACTCCCCTCCAGGCTCCCAGCAGGTCTGACTACTTCTGAATCCATTTTAACAGCAGTCCAGCAGCCCGGACTCTCAGTTCCATCTGTAGCATCTCACATCCATCAGCCCAGCTCTGTAATGTCGGCTATGGCAGTCTCCATTTAAAGTCATCTTCAATGGAAGGGGGGGAGGGATAAAAGTACCCCTCAGGTACTAATCGCTGTTTCTTTTAATTTTGGTAATCATCAATTTGCATAGGTTTTGATCAGTCTACCCCATAATGATTTTTCCCATAAGCGTTCCCACTTTCAGTAAGTTTTTTTCAGAAACACTTGTGGCACAGCAAAACACATGTGCCAGAGACTCAAACTCACTATAGACATTGTCTCTGTATTCAAGGTACACCCTCCAACAGGTTCCTTAGTGACTTTTGAGGACTTAAAAAGGCAAATATCACAGTAAGTTACCACTTCACTTCACACTTGTGAAAATGAGTTGATACTGGAACCAGCGGATGGAAGCTCTGTCTCTCCCTCTGTCTCTAACTCTGCCTCTCAAATAAAAATAAATCTTTTAAGAAAGCAAAAATTGTTAACCACCTAAATGTCTACCAACTGATAAACGGATAATTATAATGTGGTAAGCCCCCACAATGGAATATGACATCAGGTACAGGAATTACACACTGAAAACTTGCTATACCAAGAACCCTGAAAACATTCTGCCAAATCAAAGATGTTCACAAAAGATAACATATTATGGTTTACATGAACTGTACCTAATAAGCAAATTACAGAAAGTAAACCGGTGGTTTCTGGGGACTGGAGTGAGGGAGGATGAAAGGAGACAGCTAGTAAGAAGGGATTTTCCTTTTGGGGTGGTAAAAATGCTCTAAAATTAACCACGGTGATAGCTGCACAACTATGTGCATTTGTTCAAACCACTGAATTGTACATTTTAAATCAGTTTTGTGGAAAATGATCTCAAGAAAACTATTGCAACAAAAAAGGCAACCAATTTTCTCCTTAAAGACAACTGAAAAGTTTTGTTTTTATCTCAATTAGGTATTAACTGGTCGAACATTATTAGAAAAGCATCTAATAATAGTCTCATCAACTGACCCTACTTAAACTCAGGTCCTATCTTCTCAAACCAAGCCAGCATTTGCCTCGCATCCCCTCCCCCGACCCCCCCCCCAACCAACTTCAAGTTCACGGACTACTCTCAAGAGTACATGCCTTAAGAAAAGGTAAGCAAAAGCTCTGTTAGCGTCACTCGGATTAAGATAGAAGCGTAGCATAAGGGCAAGTGATACCTTGAGATGAATATTTTTGGCTAGAATCTGGGCAAAAGTGAACACAACAGCAGAAAGCAGAAACCTCGCTAGGCCCATGGATCTGGAATCGTTTCGGTGAGCTGGAGAAGGAAATAAAAGTTACAGACACTATTGCTTGAAAACAAAATGACACAGAGAGAAAAACAAACGTATTTAATATTTTCTCAAAAACAATGTCCTACATTGACCTAACGTTTCCGTCTGTGAAAAACTGGAATCTCGAAGCGTAAACGCGGCGCGCTTGACTGAACCAGTGTTCGCGCATCTTCTCACTCCCCAGACTGGACACGACGCCCCTTGCCCACCCCACACCGTCCTGCCCCACGGCCGCACGGAGGAATCCTCACTACGCCGTGGGCTCCACACAGCCCCAAGCACCCGATCTCATTCCCTCGCTGACTTCCGCGCTGGGATGAGGCTTCCACGCGGCGGCCCCTCTCACCAGCCCGCCACTCTGCATCTCCGGAACACGCACCTGCAGCCCACAGCTCCTATGTCTTCTCCGCCTCAGAAAGCCGCAGGCCTCTCAAGTCCCTCGTTTGTAGCTCGACTTTGTCTTCAGGATTTCCACCGCACGGCGTCTCGTCCCTCCCGCTTTCTTCCAGGTCCAAAGATCGCACCCTGAGACCCATCGGCACGCCGTCCTCAGTCCTCTCAGTTTGGGGCCTGCTCCTCTGCTTCGCGTCCTCAGGCTCAGTCTCAAAACAAAGGCGATGGCACCGGATTGAACCAGAACGGGCGAATAGCCCTGGAGAGCCCAGCGCTAGCAACAAAACCAGCTACCCACCCTCCAACAGAGAGGGAGGCGTGGCCAAGCGCACGTCTCAACTTCCCTCCCCCCGACCTTTTCGATTGGTCGCTGCGACGCGACGTGGCTCACGATTGGCTACGGCGCCAAGCGCGGCGCCTACAGAGAGGAAGGGGGGGTGGAGTCCAGCGCCTCCAAAACCCGCCTTCCTGAATAAATAAAGGCCGTAGCGGCCGAGTCAACGGGCGGAGCTAAGTTGTCGTGATTCAAGCTGTCGCGGGAACCCCGAAGGCGGAACCCCACGTAATTAGAAGATGACCCGAAGTTGCTGCGCAGTGGGCTGCAGCACGCGGGACACCGTGCGGAGCCGGGAGCGCGGCCTCTCCTTCCACCAGTGCGTGTGAGAGCAGCCCGGGAGCCAGCACTCTCGCCGCCGGGCCTGGCGGGCTGTAGGCCGAGGCGGGGCCGGGCAGTGCGTGGCGCCGCGCACGTGACGCGACGCGGCGTGGAGCGGGGCGGGGGAGCCCAGAAAGTTGAGGTCGGCTTAGCCCCAGTTTGCCGGTTCTGTCTCCCTCTGCCTGCTGCTCGCCTAGTGGCGTTTAACAGGGTTACTGGAAGGAAGCCTGCCTTTCTCTGGGTGCTCCTACTGCACCCAGAGAGACCGGGGAGGGAGGGAGGTTGGGAGAACTGAGGGGCCCGGGTGAGCACACGTCAGGTTTCGTCTGTCCTGCCTTGACGTTGCAGGTTGTTCAGTTCGGTTAACCTGGCCGTACTCTGGCCGATCTGGGCATGGAAGTGTCCTTTGGGCCAAGAGTGGGGCAGAGAGGGAGGAGTTGGAGAGTGCAGGTTCAGTGTAGAGGAGTGGGAGGCAAAGACTTGTGTTGCGGGATTAAGGAGTTTGGACTATGTACGGTAGACCCGATTTACTTGTTTTATTTGAGAGGCAGAGACTGAGAGGTCTTCCATCCGCTGGTTCACTCCCCAGATGGCTGCAGCGGCTGGAGCTGAGCCGATCCAAAGCCAGGAACCAGGAGTCTCCTCCGGGTCTCCCATGCAGGTGCATGGGCCCAAGGACTTGGGCCATCTTCCACTGCTTTCCCAGGCCACAGCAGAGGGCTGGATCGGAAGTGGAGCAGCCGGGTCTTGAACCGGCGGCCATATGGATTACCGGCACTGCAGGCCGCGACCCCACTAGTCATTTTTCAAAACCTAGGGCTGATTCCGGCCCTCGGTGTGTTAGCAGTTGTATGGCTTCCTGTCTCCCTTGCCATGTTCTCCCTTCAGTAAATTCCCCTACTCTTATTTTAAACTGCTTTATCTACTGTTAGTTCTGAGAGCCAGTAAGCACCCTCTTGTTACTCCTGCTTTTAAACACAGCTCGATCCTGTGTACCCCCTTTCACTGCCCTACCAGTCTCCTCCCTTTATAACCAGGCTCCTGAAAACTGTGTGCACCGAGTCCCACGGGCTTTTTTACCTATCATAGCCAGCTACCTGCCCCCGCTGCCCTGATAAAATAACGCTGGCAGAGGGTCACCCGCGGCCTTGCCAGATCTAGTTTGTTCTTAGTCCTTCCCTGGACCTGTTTTTAACCTGTCATCGTTTGGACTGCTCCATGAGAAGCCCCGTGCTCTCCCAAGGCTAAATTCTTTCCCCTTCTTTTCACCTTCCGGGTTTCCTGGAAGCTCTCTTTTAAATGCAAATTTTTTTCTTGGTGTTCCCCTTGAGGCTTTTCATTGTCTCAAAGCCTGAATCCTGGTTCCTCCGTGAGGACTTTCCTCCTGGAACCCCTCCCAGTCTGAATCACATTTGCATTCCCTCCGTGTGTTTCTGTTACTGTACCCTTGGGCTGAATGAACACATGTTTCTCTGTGATTGGGAAGAAGGCATTTTTGTCTTGCTGACTCTAGGAAGTTGTAAGGAGAGAACAGATACAGGAAAAGGAGTTAGAATACTATTGTGTTAGTCCCAGCAAGGGGTTCTAATAAGGAATTGAATTAAGGGCTCAGTAAAAGGGGTGATACCGGAAGGGCAGAATTGGACAACTTGCCATTGCTGTGACTTTTTTTTTTTTTAAGATTTATTTATTTATTTGAAAGAGAAAGAGACCTTTTATCTGCTGATTCATGCCCCAAGTGGTGCAGTGGCCAGGCCAGAGCAGAGCCAGGCCCAGTCCAGGAGTCAGGAGCTTCTTTCAGGCTTCGCATGTGGGAGGCAAGGGCCCAGACACTTGGGCCATCGTCTGCTCTCCCAGGCCCATTATCAGGGAGCTGGGTCCAAAGTGGAGCAACCAGGACACCATACGGATGCCCAGGCGGCAGCTCTAGCTGCTGTGACACTACACGGGCTCCTGCTGGGACTGTCTGATCATGGAGCTCCCTCCATGAAAAACTGGCCAACCAACCTTGAGCACTTAAATGTGTGCAGTGATTGTTAAATTCCATATGTAAAGTACTGTATTGATAAAATAATTAAAGGAGCGGGCAAAACTTACAAAATCAAATTCCCAAGTAAATATGGATGCTGTCCTGCAGAAGATGGCACATCCCTTTCTTGGCTATTGACCTGACAGATTGGATCCATAGCTGCCTTTTTTTTTTTTTTTTTTTTTTTTTTTTTTTTTGACAGGCAGAGTGGATAGTGAGAGAGAGAGACAGAGAGAAAGGTCTTCCTTTTGCCGTTGGTTCACCCTCCAATGGCCACCACGGCTGGCGTGCTGCGGCGGGCGCACCGCGCTGATCTGAAGGCAGGAGCCAGGTGCTTCTCCTGGTCTCCCATGGGGTGCAGGGCCCAAGCACTTGGGCCCTCCTCCACTGCACTCCCGGGCCACAGCAGAGAGCTGGCCTGGAAGAGGGGCAACCGGGAAAGAATCCGGCGCCCCGACCAGGATTAGAACCCGGTGTGCCGGCGCCGCTAGGTGGAGGATTAGCCTGTTGAGCCGCAGCGCCAGCCGGATCCATAGCTTTTAAGGTATACAAGACCCTTTGTGATCTGGCTTCTAGCTGCCTCTCCAGTCCATCAATAACCACTCCTTGCTACCTCTGTGTTCCTCTTCCAACTTTCTGGAACTTACTTTTTGATGCTTTGTGCTGTCAGTAAGATCCAAGTAATTATTTTCTATTTTTATTTCCTAATTATTTGCTCTGTGTGGTCACTATGCATGGAAGATTTCTATTGAGGCTTCAACTCTAGTTATTTTATTTCCTCCAAAGCCAGCACCACACTATAGCTGTAGATGAAGTAGCAAGGACAAAGGCTGTGGTGTTAAAATTACCTAAAGGTCAAGAGCATTGGTGCCCTATCAAAAGCTTATAAGAGGTGGTTTTTTGTGTGTGTTTGTGTGTGTGTGTGTGTTTTTTTTTTTTTGCCTGCATCATGTTGAAATGAATTCTGTTTTTAAGGTTTGAATTATGCAATGTTTCAAACATTCTAACAAACAGAAAATGATATATAACAAACACCTATTGTGCCCATCACTTGAATGAAGCAAATGTTAACATTTGCCTTGTTTCAGATCCCACACAACCCCCCTTAGAACAAAGCTACAGGCACTTAAAGCCTCACTTCTCAATCCTTTCCCTTCCTCCCCAGAGGTAACTATTGTAGAAAGGGTTTGTTAGCCACCATTCTGGAAAATATTTTATATTCAGAGAGCCAAAGGTAAGTTTCCGCCAGTCTTGTAAAAGCCTGGTCACAAGGAGAAAGAAAACAGGATGCTGTTACAGTGTAAACCAGTTCCTTAGTGTGGATGTGAGATGATGACTGATTTGGGATTTTTCTTCTGTCAGAGGTGGCTTTCTACTGTGGAGACATGAATCCAATTTCAGCTGTTTATTGGTGGCTATGCTTGGCTCTGGTCTTGGTTTCACCTTCTCTAAGAGAATAAAAGCCTACCTTACAGAGTCTCTGTAAAGCTGAGTATTTAAAATATAGTTATAGCACAAGGTAAATCTCTAAAAGAATTATCACCAATTTAATTTTGCCCATTATACTCAAGCCAGTGAAGTTAAACAATGCTATTTCCCACTAGAAAATAACTCGGTGAAAAGAGATTTGTTTTACCTTCATTGGAAAACCAATTCCCTGTTCATTCTCTCTCTGTTAAGTAGCATCATCTTCCTGGAACAACAAAACGGAAGTTCCAGAAATGGAACTGGAAATAAACTGTAGATAGTACAAAGTGCTTGTTCCGCAGCCCTGGGAGGAGGCTCCAAGATGAAGGGCTGTGGCTAATACCACACAGCAGGAAAGGGTCCCCACTGCCCTGCTGACCCTATGTTCTTTCTCTAGGTGACTGAGACCGCACCTGAGAATTAGGTTTTGCCATACTACTATATTCTGTAATAATTGTCAGCCATCTCTGTTTTGAAACACTAAATGCTTTAAAATCCAAATTAAAGAGCACAAAAGACATCCTAGCTACCTATAATTCTGTCTCCAAGTCAAAGAGAAGGGAGCAAAAAGAGTACTTCCGTAATTTTTACTGTTTACTTCGTAAGTTCCTAAACAGCAATTTGACTGGCATTGAAAAATAGAGAAATGCAAGGTAATGTTATATTCAAGGCTAGGAAAAAATAGTGTCTTCTCCCAAAAATGAGAAAATGGAGTGTAGTAAATCTACTTGTTTTCTGTTGTATAACAAATTGAAATTTCAGAGGAAACATTATGATCTTGCACATTTCTGAGAGCCAGAAGTGAGTGAGCTGGATTTTACAGGGTACCTCCTAAGACGGCAGTCATCCCAAAGCTTGAATTGAGGCTGAAGGATCTAATTTTGAAAAGGCTTCACTCACATGGCCTTAGTGCTCACCAAGTAGGCCTCTGCACAGAGCTGCTTGTAGCATGGTAGGTAACGACCCCAGAGCACACTGTCCGGCAGAGAGAGAAGGAGGAAGCCTGGGTCACTCCTGCCTTGTTTGTTCTTTAGCAAATCACTAACTCCCTCCCTTGCTCAAGGGTGGTGGAATTGGGCTCTACCTCTTAAAAGGAGAAATACCAAAGAATTTGTGAATGGGAAAGAAAAAGGTACATATGTTCTTGAACCATTTATTTATTATTATATCGTTTTTTGTTTTTTTTTTATCTTCGACACGCAGAGTGGACAGTGAGAGAGAGAGACAGAGAGAAAGGTCTTCCTTTGCCGTTGGTTCACCCTCCAATGGCCGCCGCGGCCGGCGCGCTGCGGCCGGCGCACCGCGCTGATCCGATGGCAGGAGCCAGGAGTCAGGTGCTTTTCCTGGTCTCCCATGGGGTGCAGGGCCCAAGCACCTGGGCCATCCTCCACTGCACTCCCTGGCCACAGCAGAGAGCTGGCCTGGAAGAGGGGCAACCGGGACAGAATCCGGCGCCCCGACCGGGACTAGAACCCGGTGTGCCGGCGCCGCTAGGCGGAGGATTAGCCTAGTGAGCCGCGGCGCCGGCCTCTTGAACCATTTAAATTTGAGCAGATTCTGTTCCGTGTAGGCAGGGAAGACAGAATACGGTAGGCTCTTTAGTAGCAGAATTGCCCCCACAGATTGAAACAGATAAAATCACTGAGATGCTGAACTTGTAGGTTTTAAAATCAAAGTTTTGACAAATGAAATAATAAATTAAATTTTTAATTGGGTTTTATGTAAAGCAGGTCAATAAATGGGTTTGTATAATATTACTATAGTATTACTCTAATATTTTCATGTTAATAGAAGTTTAATATGATTGCTATAGATTTCCAACTGATATCTTACTGCGCTCAAAGTGGATCAGGGCTGTTAATCGTGTGGACCCCAGAAGCAAAAAGATTTGGATCCCAGGACCATGTGCTATGCTATGTTCCAAACATTTTCAAGAAAGTGACTTTGAATCATATGGCTTGAGAAGAAACCTGAAAAAAGGATCCGTGCCCTCTCTTTATCTGCACAAGGTACTCAAATCTAGTTGTAAACAAAGCTAAATTTGAGAGTCTTTAAAAATCAAGATTGCCACATCATAGCTAGAATTTGCACAGAGAATCCCGAGACTTAAAATAAATCCAATAATAGATTTTAAATGCATTGATATTCATTTTAAAAATCTATATGTAATAACATTCTGTTCTGGAGAGTTGTAAGTATATACATGCAGATCATTTGTACATACAGAAAAGTTACTAATTGCAAAAATCAACTAAAAGGTATAAATGCCTTAGAATCAGGCTCTTGTTTAGTACGAGACCTTTCTTAATACTTTGAAATAATCTACCCTTTTTGGCCCCTCCCAACAAAGTTATTTATCTTGACCAAAAATATGTCTAACATTAGTTTTGCTACAGGAAGAAATATATGAAAAATATGTGACTTTCTATGAGTGAGTCACCAGTACTGGGATTACAGACTTATGTTTCTTTCAGTGGTTTTTACTTTTATCTTTTTATCCTTTAACCACAACTCTCATACATGACTTTTAATTTTTACATACTCTGCAATAGTCACCTAACTGTTCTTACTCTAACATCTTCCAACTGATTGCAGTTGTCTTTTGGGGTGGTTCTGTCTCAGTGCCCTACTCAGAAGTACATAGTTGGTATCAGATTTACTCATAGCAACCAAGAGCTTTCTATTAATTGATTCATACATTTCTAACTAAACTCTCTTTTCAAACCACATACACTTAACCTTCTTTTATGTGTCTATGTAAAATCAGTGTTAGTGATGATGTATCAAGGCCAACAGTGGCCCAGGCTTTGCACTGGGAAGTTTTGTATCCTCGTGACAACCCTCTGTTATCTGCATTTTACAGATGAGGACACAAAGGACTGTAGTGCTTAAGCGATAGCTAGTAAGAGGGAGCTGGGATTCAACCTAAAGCGGTCTATTCCAGTGCGCCTACATTGTCCACTCTTCTCTTTTTGGTCAAATAATTGCCCTGTCTCATCCTTTAAGCCATGCTGCTGATCCTCAATAAGCTATTCAAAACTCACTTCCATGAAGCATTCTCAAATTACTGTCACTTTTCTCTAGTTACTTTAATCATTTCAGAAGATTTCAGCATCACATTAATATAGCAGTATGCTTGCACACACCAAAAAAGACTGTTTACACTGTTCTATAGACTGTCAATTTAGAAAATTCAGAGTCCTTGGCCTTTCATATATAATTCCCCATCAACCAGGTGAGTGCTTTGTAATCAGTGGTATTTTTATAGCAATCTGTGAGATGATTTCTAAAATAACTTTTATTTCACATTTCTGTGATAGGTTCCTCAAGGTATATGCCCTAAAGGTAAAGCAAGACAGAAAATCCTGCAGCAGCCCCTTCCAGCTGATTCTGAAGAGACTGCTACTGAGGACCATAACTATAGTTTAAGGACACCTTTGACAGTAGGTGCAGAGAAGCTGGCTGAAGTGCAGGAAATGCTGCAAGTGTCCAAAAAAAGACATGTCCCCGTAAAAAACTATAGGATGATCAAGAAGAGAAAGGGTTTACAATTAATTGATGCACTTGTAGAAGAGAAACTGCTTTCTGAAGAAACAGAGTTTCTGCTACGAGCACAATTTTCAGGTATTACCCCCCCCCCATAATTTATATGATACTTAATAGCTCTTTATTTTTTCAATGCCATTAAATATTTACTTTGCTACTGCCCATGTAAACATGTTTTCAGTTGTGAAGTGAAAGGTCTCAATCATTTAAGCAAGAAGAATGAAAAGTAACCAAAATACTTTTTATATTTCATGATTTCCCCCCATTATGAAATTAACATGTTTATTCTAGGAAAAGAGAAGAAATAACTAAGTGATAAAATGGCACATAGCCCCACCACACAGAGATGAGAACATGTGGTTTACACAGCTTTGTATTCTGGGCTTTTGCTTTTTTATAATAGCTTTCACTCATGCTATTGCAAGTTAGCAGTTTTTAAACTGCTGTGTAATTTATTACCAAAGTCTTTTAAGATTGGAGTTGAACTATGTAATGTGCAGAGTCTCTTTGGTGAATCCCTATTGTTTTTCTTTAAAAGTTCTCTAGTATAGATACATGCGCAAATTCATGGATGGACCACCTGGTCCTCTTTGTGAGCCAAGATGTTGAAGAAAGGCAGAGTAAGAGTTGCCAACTTACATTTTCATGAAAACAGCTGAAATGGTGAACTTACATTCTGGGAAAAAGAAAAATATTGTTTGTAGAAGAGTAAGTGTCTCCAGAGGGAGGGAATAGATTAAAGAAATAGGGGACGCCACCACGAACAGAGGGTATTTTTCTTCTCTCCATGGTGGGCATTTCTGTTCAATATGAGCAGTACCCTTACCCTGTCCCTAGAAAATGTCGCTCCTATCTAATTTTCACCTTTGAGTGGTAACCAGGGAACAAATAAGACAAATTAATGTCATAAGCCCAAGACTTAATTTTATCCAGTTATTTAATTTACTTTCCTGTTCCTCTAAAATCTTCCAGTCTGGCTGCCAATGAATAATAAAACACGAACCAAGTTGAATCTGTTTTCGTCCCTTTTGGCAGCAAGATGATCCATGATAAATGGTCAAGGGACCCTATAGGAGATGTTAATATCCGAATAACTAGAGTTAAAATATGACTAAATTTGTCACATTTTTGATGGCCAGTGTATTTTACATCCAAATATGACAATCTGTTCCTGAAAATGTTGCTAGTCAATGTTTCACCACAAAAGTGAATAAATGTCAGGGTTAGCATTGTGGCGGAGTGGATAAAGCTGCCACCTGGGATGCCAGCTTCCCATATGTACGGTAGTTTCTGTCCCTGTTGCTGCATTTCTGATCCAGCCCCCAGCAAATGTACCTGGGAAAGCAGTGGAGGATGGCACAAGTGCTTGGGCCCCTGCACCCACATGGGAGACCCAAAAGAAGCTCTTGGCCCCCAACTTCCACTTGGCCCAACTCCATCATGTAGCCATTTGGGGAGGGAACCAGTGGGTGGAAGATCTTTCTCTGTGTCTCTTCCTCTTTCTATAATTCTTCCTTTCAAATAAATGATAAATCTAATAAATAAATGTATGGCTGGTGCTGTGGTGTAGTAAAGCTGCAGCCTGAGATGCCAGCATCCATTTGGGCCGTGGTTTGAGTCCTAGCTGCTCCTCTCTTGATCCAGCTCTCTGCTTATGGTCTAGGAAAGCAGTGGAAGATGGCCCAAGTCCTTGGGCCCCTGCACCCCTGTGGGAGACCCAGAAGAAGCTCCAGGCTCCTGGCTTCAGATCGGCCCAGCTCCAGCCATCGCAGCCATTTGGGGAGTGAACCAGCGGATGGAAGACACCTCTCTCTCTCTCTGCCTCTCTGCCTCTGTAACTCTGCCTTTCAAATGAATGAATAAATCTTAATAAATAAACGTAACTTTAACAGATTTTCGCTGGGAGCGACATGACTGGAAGGACACAGCTGCGTACTCTACAGAAATGAAACAGTTTGCTTGTACACTCTACCTGTGCAGCAGCAAAGTCTACGACTATGTAAGAAAGATTCTTCAGCTGCCTCATTGCTCCGTCCTCAGAACGTAAGTGAATTACTCTTTAGATGTTAAGTGAATGAAACAGACACGGTGTTCTTGGATTGTATTTTATACGTTAAAGCTTTTAGTATTCATGCTCAAATGTATGCATTTCAAAATTTTTTGCCCCAAAATAAAATTATCTTTTAACTTAATTTTCCACAATCTTTTTGAAGTGGCCTCATACTCCTATTTATTAGCCCATTTTTAAAAAGGTTCTAGGTGGCATTTATGTATTATTTTACAACAGTAAAATGTTCACCAATAAAATGAAGACACATAGGGGCCAGTGCCGTGACACAATGGGCTAAGCCTCCGCCTGCAGCACCGGCATTCCATTTGCATGCCAGTTTGTGTCCTGGCTGCTCTTCTTCTGATCTGGCTCTCTGCTTATGTCCTGAAAAACAGTGGAAGATGGCCCAAGTCCTTGGGTCCCTGTACCTATGTGGGAGACCCTGAAGAAACTCCTGGCTTCTGATTGGCTCAGCTGTGGCCACTATTGCCATTTGGGGGGGTGAACCAGCAGATGGAAGACCTTTCTCCCTTTATCTTTCTAAAACTCTACCTCTCAGATAAATAAATAAATCTTAAAAAAAAAAATTAAGACACATAGGCCTGACAAGTTTTTTTGTATCTCCCAGATGTTGGGAGACACTCAAGGCAATAAATTTTTTTTTTAAGATTTATTTTATTTATTTAAGAGACAGAGAGAGAGAGGTCTTCCATCTGCTGATTCACTCCCCAAATGGCCACAACGGCCAGAGTTGAGGGGCCGGGAGCCCACTCTGGGTCTCCCACGTAGTTGCAGGGGCCAAAGGACTTGGGCCATCCTCTGCTGCTTTTTCAGGCACGTTAGCAGGGAGCTGGATCAGAAGCAGAGCAGCTGGGACTCGAAGCGGTGCCCATGTGGGATATCGGCACTGCAGGCCAGGGCGTTAACCTGCTATGCCACAGCGCCAGGCCCAAGGCAATACAGTTTCAGTCCTGAAATAATGGAGATTCTTATTCACATCAGTAATTCTGACATCTGACAGTTCTGGATTGATTGGTAAGGGACAAAGCACAGAAATCTGCATTTGTTTTTTGGTGAGCACTGCAGTTGATACCAATGAAGGTTCCCTAGGGACCAGATTTTTATAAAGAAGGATTTGTGTTTATTTAGAATTCCCTTAGCGTGAGGCAAATAATATAATGATCTTGTAAGGTCTTAATTAATTTAGTTTTTGTCACTGGTTTTTATTTATTTATTTTTGATTTAATTTATTTGAGAGGTAGGGTTACAAAGAGAGGGAGAAACAGAGAGAAAGGTCTTCTGTCTGCTGTTTCACTCCCCAAATGGCCGCAACAGTTGGAGCTGAGCCCATCTGTAGCCAGGAGCCAGGAGCTTCTTCCAGGTCTCCCACACGGGTTCAGGGGCCCAAGCACTTGGGCCATCCTCCACTGTTTTCCCAGGCCTTCAGCAGAAAGCTGCAGTGGAAGGGGAGCAGCCAGGACTTGAACCTACGTCTATATGGGGTACTGACATCACAGGCAGAGGCTAAGCCAACAGAACCAGTCTTTGTCACTGGTTTTACAGATTCTTTTTTTTTTTTTTTAAATGAATGAGATTAAATTAAATTGAAATTATATTATATTGAATTAAAATACTACTAATGAAAGAAATGAGAGAAAAGGAAGGAACATTGATTCATTGTTCCTAGTTATCATGTTCTTATAAACAATTGCTGTTAACATTTAGAGTATTTCCTTCCAATCTTTTTTCTGGGCTTAGATTTACTGGATTTTACGTAGTTGTGATCTTTGGTATATAAATTGCCAGACTGCCTTTTTTTTATTATATGTGCTTTTTAATCTGTGTTATTTTGAACTCTTTATTTAAACAAATTTTAATGGCTGCATAATGTCAAGTAGTTCTCTGCTATTTAACTCTGGTGTTCTCCAGTTATTGGGCCTTAGTATTATTTCCATTTTTTGGTTTTAATTGTTAACACTTCTTGGCCTTTTGGGTAAGATCAAGTATGGTTGTAATTGCTATTTAGTAAGTTGAGATGAACATTTGTATATCAGGGCACCTACTGTATCCCATAATATGACTGTTACCACTCAGACTAAATATTTTACTTACTTGTAAATGTATACTTTCTGCTAAACAGAAATATTTTTATAAGATACTGCATTGATTTTTTTTTGTTCCTTTCTTAATATAGTCCTCTCTTCTGTACTTGCTCTACGTAAAGCGTTGCTGACTGATTTTTCATCATGGTTCATGTAAGACTTCTTGTCTTTTTTGTCTTTCACGGTTTTCGTCACTTCCCATTGTTCTCTGTCAGCGTCTGGACTGAATCTCCCCTGGCAGTTCAGCTCACACTCACCTTTTCTCTCTTCATGTCTTGCATTTTGTGACCTTTGCTATGATGTTATGTTTCCAGTTCTGGTACTCAAAACAGCTGCTTGTTTCTTTGGCTACTTTGACTGGAACTCAGGTACATTAAAATATATATAAGTAGATAAGTACCAGAAAGTGAAATACACAATACTTCACTTCTCCTAATGTCACGAAGCAACTGTTGTTAGCAGTTTGGTATATATCCTCCCAGATATTTTTTAAAACTTTCAATAAAATTTTGTCGTAATGGCCATATGTTATTAGTACATACATTTTTTTTAATTAATTAATTTATTTGAAAGAGTTAGAGAGATCTTCCATCCACTGGAATGTCCCAAATGGCCACAAGGGATGAATTGGGCCAATCTGAAGCCAGAAACCAGGAGCTTCTTCCAGATCTCCCACTCGAGTGCAGGGGCCCAAGCAGTTGGGCCATCTTCTGCTGCTTTCCCAGGCCACAGCAGAGAGCTGGAAAGGAAATAGAGCAGCCGGGACTTGAACCAACTTCCGTATGTGATACTGGCACTCAGGCAGCAGCTTTACCTGCTACGCCACAGCACCTACTACTCTTCATACTTGAATTTTATCCTAAAAATGTCTGCATGGTCAGACATTTGTGTTTGGTTACATTTACATTCATTTTCCCATTAAAATTTTTTTTAAAGGTTTATTTATTTATTTGAAAGAGTTAGAGAGACAAGAGGCAGAGAGAAAGAGAGATCTTTCATCTACTGGCTCACTCCCCAGCTGGCCACACTGGCCAGAACTATGCCTATCTGGAGCCAGGAGCTTCCTCCCAGTCTCCCACGCAAATGCAGGGGCCCAAGGACTTGGGCCATCTTCTGCTGCTTTCCCAGGCCACAGCAGATGGCTGGAATGGAAGTAGAGCAGCTGAGACTTGAACTGGTACTCATATGTGATACTAGCACTCAGGTGGCAGCTTTACCCACTCAGCCACAGTGCCTACCCCTATTCATATTTAGATTTTATCCTAAAAATGTCTGAATGGCCAAACATGTTTGTATTTATTACATTTACATTCATTTTCCCATTAAAAATTTTTTTAGTGAATTATTTATCTGAAAAAGTTACACAGAGTGAAGGAGAGGCAGAGGGAGAGGTCTTCCATCCACTGGCTCACTCCCCAGTTGACCACACCAGCTAGAGTTGTGCCAATCCGAAACCAGGAGCTAGGAAGGAGCTTCTTCCGGGTCTCCCACATGGGTTTAGAGGCCCAAGGACTTGGGCCATCTTCTACTGCATCCCATACAGGATGCTGCCTGTGGCTTTACCTGCTAAGCCACAGCGCCAGCCCCCCTGTATCTGTTCTTAACAGAGCTTCACTTAGGTATTAGATCTTAAAAGTAATTATATTTGCTATTCATTGATTGAATACATATTGATCAGAAGCGGCCAGTGCGGCAGGAGATAAACGAGGAGACTGCGGTAGCCTGGAAGCCAAGTGTAGGAAGTATGTCAAGGAGGGAGTAGTCCACTAAATCAAATGCTGCTGGGAGATCAGGTAAGCGGACAGAGAATTGACCTTTGATTTTTTTTCAAGATAGCAGTCATTGATAACTAAGACCAAAGCAGCTATAGTGGAGTAGTAGAGAGGTAAACATAGTTCAGGTGGGGTTCAAAAGAGACTGGCAGGTGATGAAGCAGAGAAAACAATTATGGACTCTGCAGGAGTTTTGTTTTGAAGGAGCACCGTAAAATGAGTGTGAAGCTGGAAGGGAACATGTGTTGGTGAGGGATGTTTGTTGGGGTTCCAGTGTGTTTGCCTGCTCACGGGAGGGATCCTGTAGGAAAAAGAAAATTGGTGATGCTCAAAAGAAAGTATGCTTGTAGTAGGATTACATCCACCACTGTTGTGGAGGAAAATCTGAACGGAACAGGGACAGTCCAGTCATTGAAACAGAAAGAAAAGTGACTATCCAGACAGTAGTTAACAGATTTGGTGATAAGAGACAGTTTTTATTGGATTGCTTCTGTTTTCTCAATTAAATAAAATCATCAGCTGAGAGTTGAGGAGGGAGACATCAAAAATTTGGGGAGAAAGGGGAAAAAATGTGAATAGTTAGTTCAAAGACCAGGGAAGCAAAAAATTGGGAAAACAAAGCACCAGGATTATAGTCAACATGATTGTTTTTCCTCCATAGTGATGGAGCAGCAGTTAGATGGCCAGCAATTAGATTCGATGAGGACAAACCAAGCCAGACTTAAATAAAAAAAAAAAAAAAACCTTGCTTTGTTTAGATAGGTACTTCATTCACTAATTTCATCTTTTTCTAATTCTTTTTTTTTTTTTTTAAGCTTTATTTGTTTTTATTTGAAAGTCAGAGTTACAGAGAGAGGAGAGGCAGAGAGAGAGGTCTTCCATCACTGGTTCACTCCCCAATTGGCTGCAACGGCCGGAGCTGGGCTGATCCGAAGCCAGGAGCCAGAAGCTTCTTCCGGGTCTTCCCACATGGGTGCAGGGGACTAAGGACCTGGGCCATATTCTACTGCTTTTCCGGGCCACAGCAGAGAGCTGGATTGGAAGTGGAGCAGCCGGGTCTCAAACCGGCGCCCATAAGAGATGCCGGCACTTCAGGCCAGGGCATTAACCTGCTGTGCCACAGTGCCGGCCCATCTTTTTCTAATTCTTAACTACATCAGATACCACTCTGGTTTTCTCTGTTAGATCCTTTCTCAGTTCTCCCTGAATTCCTTATGTTCAAAACTTTCTCAGAACTGGCCTTCTTATAACTCTAGTACTTTGGGTCTTTTATAGTAAATTGTTGTTAGAAATTCCTTGGAATTACTTAGCTTTGCTTGTTATAACAGTGATAGATTTTGTTTGGTTGTAGTCATAGAAAGTGCTGGCACAATTGTTACTATTTATATTTTCTTTGTTCCTAACATTCTATGTTTAGATTCATGACAGTTTAGTAAATTAAATTAACTTGCCCTATAGATAGATGATCTAAAAGATTCAAAAGTAAATAAGGCGGGCCAGTGTTGTAGTGCAGCAGGTTAAACCTTAGGTTGCAACTCTGGCTTCCCATAATAGCGTGAGTTCAAGTCCCATCTGTTCTGCTTCCAATCCAGCTTCCTGCAAATGAGCCTGGGAAAACAGCAGATGATGGTTCTTGTACTTGGATCCTGCCATCTCCCCTGGTTGGAGCTGCCCCAGCTGTTGCAGCCATTGGCTGATTCACTCCCCAAATGCCTACAGTAGCTGAGGCTGGGTCAGGCTCAAGCCAGGAGCCCAGAACTTCGTCTGGATCTTCCACATAAATGGCCAGGACCCAGCTGTTTGAACCATCATCTGCTACCTCCCAGGGTGCGTATTAACAGGAAGTTGAATGGGAAGTGGAGTACCCAGGACTCCAACACAGGCATCCCAAGCAGTGATTTAGCCACCATGCCAAATGCCTGTTTTTTGTTTTGTTTTGTGTTTTTAGACTCATTTAGAGTAAAACTTCTACATAAAGACATCAAGTAGTTTCATTACATCCTTACTGCATATGCAAATTTGCATTTTGGGTGTTGATTTGAGAATCCTAACACAAAAAAATTAATTATAATTTGGTGACATAATTGTGAAGGGTTTTCAACGTGCTAGTGCACTATAGCACCACTGTACTGCTTTCTCATGATCCACTATTTTTGTCCTCTTCTAAAAACACAGCAGGTAATGGGGTTGTGGCACAGCTGGTTAAATTGCTGCCCACGATGCCAGCATCCCTTACGAGCACTGGTTTGAGTCCTGGATGCCCCACTTCTGACCCAGCTCCCGGCTGATGGGCCTGGGAAATCAGCAGCAGATGGCCCAAGTACGTGGGCCTCTGCTACCCACGTAGGAGACCAGGATGGAGTTCCAGGTTTCTGTTTTTGACCTGGCCAGTCCTAGCCATTGTGGCCATTTGTGGAATGAACCAAGTGGATGGAAGATTCTCTCTCTCTCTCTCTCTCCCCCCCCCTCCCCCCTACCTCTTGTGGCTCTGCCTTTCAAATAAATAATAAATAAATATTTATTTTTGGAATAAATAATTAAATAAAATACAACCACCAATAAATGCTTTTATTTGTCTTTTAAAATAGATTATAAGCAATTTATTGTCAAAGGATAGATTTTGCATTCTATTACCATTTTTTTCAAAGCCATTTGTGTATCATGAAATCAGTTTAATGTATCAGTATTGCCACACAGAGTATATGTATTTCATATATGTGAAAGTAAATGGCATGTAGTAAGAGTATATTTTGCTTAGGGTCCATCACTGTGGAATAGTGGGTTAAGCCTCTGCCTGCAGCACCGGCATCCTATATGGGTGCTGGTTCAAGTCCTGGCTGCTCCACTTCCAATCCAGCTCCCTGCCAATGGCTCAAGTCCCTGAGCTGCTGCACCCACGTGAGAAACCAGGAAGAAGCTCCTGGCTGCTGGCTCTGGATCATCCCAGCCCTGACCCTTTTGGCCATTTGGGAAGTGAACCAACAGATGGAAAACCTCTCTCTGTCTCTCCCTCGATCTCTCTGTAATTTTGCTTCTCAGATAAATAAATAAACCTTTTTTAAAAAAAGTATATTTTGCTTATGAAACTGTTAGGTTATAGCTAAAATATTTGGAAAGCCCTATCCTAAAAATCTTAAGGAAATACATAAAAATCTCCATTAAGTAGAGGTCAGTTGTCCAGGAAGAAACCTTGACTGCCTAGAAAATAACCCCAAATTCATAAATCTAAATAAAAAAAGACCTCTGAATTATGAAAGTATACTTCTGTTATAGATGAGTACCTCAGTTTCTCCGTCAGCCTCTACTTTCTTCTAATTTAGAATATTATAATAAACATACCTGTTTTCTGTCCTGATCCTCAGTACATTAGGAGGCATACATTGGAGGGATTCTGAAGATAGACCAAAGAGTTGTAGGAGAGAATAATTAGCAAAATGATAAGGAAGATCAGGATATGAAAGGACTCCTGAGGTGCCATTGTATTAGTGTCCCTGCAGGCATGGTTTGATGCTGTAAGAAGTGATAAAAGCATTGCACTGGGTTGAGCAAGTATTCCTAACTGGCAGCACAGTAGGACCACCTCGCCTAACTTCTCCCTCTGTCCCAGTTTCCTGCTCTGTAAAATAAGGCCGATGAACTAGAGGTTCTCAGTGGTTCCTTCCTGTTCAACAGTATTCTCATGTCAGTGAATTTATAGGTAAGATGATATATGGTGTACAAATTAGAACAAACTGGGTAATTGATTTGTATACTTTCTGAAGAATGAATGAGAAATTACCAATCATGTTATAGTATGTTTGCATCGTAAAATACTATTTTGTGTTTCCAAGCTCTTCTGTTTTCTTGGCTATTTCGTTGTAACTGTATAAATATATGCTTAAAAATGCTTGCAGATTTTGGCTAGTTGGCTTTATTTCTAGAGGAATTTGAGACTATTTTTTAGACCACTTAAGGTATGTTTCCCTTTTATCTTTTTATTTCTTCATTCAATTTCTATATTTTTCTCTTTGTATATTTTCTAGGTGGTTATCCAAATGCAAACCCAGTCCAGGTTTCAACAGCAACATTTTTTCTTTCCTTCAAAGAAGAGTAGAGAATGGAGACCAGCTGTATAAATATTGTTCACTGATAATAAAAAGTGTCTCTCTCAAGCAACAACTTCAGTGGGATCCCAGCAGTCAGAGTTTGCAAGGTTTCATGGATTTTGGCCTTGGAAAACTGGATGCTGATGAAACACCACTTGCCTCAGAAACTGTTTTGTTAATGGCAGTGGGTATTTATGGCCATTGGAGAACACCTCTAGGTTATTTTTTTGTAAACAGAGCATCTGGATATTTGCAAGCTCAGCTACTTCGTCTGACTATTGGCAAACTGAGTGACACAGGGATCACAGTTCTGGCTGTTACGTCTGATGCCACGGCTCACAGTGTTCAAATGGCGAAAGCATTGGGGATATGTATTGATGAAGGCAACATGAAGTGTACATTTCAGCACCCTTCATCTTCTAGCCAGCAGATTGCATACTTCTTCGATTCTTGCCACTTGCTGAGATTAATAAGAAATGCGTTTCAGAATTTTCAAACCATTCAGTTTATGAATGGCACAGCACAATGGCAGCACCTTGTGGAGTTAGCAGCACTGGAGGAACAGGAGTTATTAGGTATTGGAAGACTCCCAAGTAAACTTGCAAATTCGCAGAAACACATACTGAAAATGAACTGTGCTGCCCAGGTCTTCAGTGAGAGTGCTGCCCGTGCATTGGAATATTTGCTGTCACTAGGCCTGCCTGCTTTTCAAGACTGCATTGGCACCATCAAGTTTTTACGTCTAATTAGTAAGCTGTTTGACATTTTTAATAGTAGGAACTGTTATGGAAAGGGACTTAAAGGACCTCTGTTGCCTGAAACTTTTAGTAAAATAAATCGTGTATTAATGGAAGCCAAAACTGTTTTTGTTACATTCTCTGACACTAGCAATAATCCGATCATTAAAGGTAAGCAAAAACTAGGATTCCTGGGATTTTTGCTTAATGCTGAGAGCCTAACATGGCTCTACCACAATTATGTTTTCCCAAAGGTCATGCCTTTTCCATATCTTCTGACTTACAAATTCAGTCAAGATCATCTGGAATTATTTCTGAAGATGCTTAGGCAGGTATTAGTCAACAGTGCCAGTCCTACCTGTCTGGCATTCCAGAAGGCTTACCATAATGTGGAGAGCAGATACAGATTTCAAGATGAAGTTTTTCTAAGTGAAGTAAGCACCTTTGACATTTCAATTGCACGAAGGAAAGACTTGACCCTTCGCACGGTTCAGCGTCAGTATGGCATCAGGGCCGTCAGGACTCTCTTTCCTAAAGAAGATGTTTACCAGGACTGGTCTAGTTGTTCACTAAGTGCAGCACTACTGGACCTGTCAGATCATAGGCGAAATCTCATCTCTTGGGCCGGTTACATTGCAAATAAATTGTCAGCTCTGTTAACTTGTGAGGACTGCGTCAGTGCTCTGTACACTTCAGACCTCAAAGCCTCTAAAGTTGGGTCACTGTTATGTGTTAAAAGGAAGAGTGGTTCGTATTTGCCTTCACAGAGTCTCTGCCGAGTCATAAATACCTGTGAGCAGGTTGTAAGAAGCCATTCAAACACCGCAGTGTGTGAACTAGGGCCTAAACAGAGAGAATCTTATCTTCAACAGAAAATACTACATGAGCTTTTGGGGCACCTTTCTCTTTTTGTGGATTTAGATGAGCATCTTTTTGAGGGAGAACCGTGTGCCATCAACCACTTTGTAAAATTGCTGAAGGATATAATTATCTGTTTCTTAAACATCAGAGCTAAAGATGAAGCTCGGGTCCCTTTAAAACATCACTCAGAAAGACCTGAAATGAGAACCAGGAAACTGGTCATTATTGGGTCACACATGTTCAAGTTTGGCTAATAACAGTAAATTCAGGCATTTAGTAAGTAACGGTGGATATCCATTCAAATGAGACCAGAAATGTGTTAGCATTTTTATGAACATACTTTACACTTGGTGAAGTTCATGTCACCATATTAGCAGTTAGCTGTTCTGTACAGTGAACAATTTGCAATTCTGACATGGAATTTCTAATGCATATCATAAAGATCTCTCATACTTTGGTATGGCCTGTGGCATTTATGAGTTTTCCAAAATGTAGAAAGCAATAAGTCTGGAGGTGCAGACCTGACCAATAGGGTCTGTCTTTGAAGATACGACTGTAAGACAGAACAGACTACATTTCCTAAAAGACCTTTGGTTTATGATTTTTAAGATTATTAACAGAACACCTGTGGAACCTTGGAAATAATCTTTACCTAAAAATAAAAATTAAGTTGTGATTTGGAAATCAGGCTGAAGCCAAATGTCACACACCACAAAACTTCCTGGGTTCAGGACACATTAAGATGGAAGTACTTCTGCTCTGTTAGGCAGAAGGTTAAGTACATGGTCACGGATTGTTCTGGTGCTGCAACCGAGATGTAGTGTAGTCTGGGAAGGACGTAGGAACACGGTTTTCACTGCCTGAGTCCTGGACTTCGAAATACTCCTTTTAAATAAGAGAAGGTGATCACTTAACCTGACTCCTGTTGGAAGAGCCTGGGGGCTCAGCAGAAAGCCGGAGGACGCCTTTATTCCAACTTTGCCCTCTCTCAGGTCTACTTGTGTTTGCAAGGGGCTAAGGTAATGTTACACATATATTCAGTGTTGAACTAATCCTGAAATATCACTGCACGTGTCGGTAACTTGTCAAAGGACAGGAACCAGCATACAGTGGATGTTTCAGAAATTGGAAGAAATTGAATCTGCAGATGGAAACATCTTAAGGAAAGTTTTCTCCACTGTGTCACTCAGATTTAAAAAGTAAATTAAAAGAACCTACGTATATGTACTTTCCCAAAGCTGAATATTTTAGTGAGTAAAAGAAGAAACAAGCACATTATTCACTTGTGTTTGTAAAATGTCATTTTGTCATTGAATGTTTGAAAACTTTAAGTGGTAAAAGTTGAGTCTATGAGGAGAAAGCCTTTGGCCTAGATCCTAAACACCTCTTAGGATCCCTGCGTCCTGTATCAGAATGCCCGGGTTCCTGTTCCACCTCCAGTTTTGATCCAGCTGCCTGCTAATGCGCCCCCTGGGAAGCAGCAGGTGATAGCTCAAGGACTTGGATCCCTGTCTTCCACGTGGGCGCCCTGGTGACAGGCACTTGAGGAGGGAAGCAGCGGACAGAAGATCTGTGTCATTATTTCTGCCTTTTAAATAAACAGTTTTTTAAAAAAGAATATTTTGGTATGCTTGTTTACCTCAACACAAAGGCTTAAGTTTTAAAATATAACCAGTGTTGCTGAGAAGTCTGAATTTTGTTGTTATTTTTGCCAATAAAACCCATTTTAAATAAACCTTAAAGAGCCTGCTCATAAATCACCACCTTTAACTGTATGTTAGGTACAAGTTTTGTACCTGATCTTTATTTAAAGTAGGTCCACATCTGTAATGTCTAATGCTCTTTGCTGTTGTGCTTGACAATGCTAGTATGTTTTGTATTTGAAGAAGTAGGTGTTTTTGCATTGTTGCCTTAAATGCTGGATAAATAGGGAGGACAGATGTTGGAGACAAGAATATTTCCACCTTACATTTAGCACAGCTAATGTCCCTTGCACCTGTGAAAGGTTTCTAAGTCTTACATCGGATTTACTTGGTATGATATGCTTGACAGTGAAATATGTTATTCACATTTGATGTGATTAGGGTGATTTGGTTATAATTTCTACTCATGAAAGGAAAATGAGTTCCTTTAAAAAACCTACCTTCCTAGGGCAGGCTTTATGCCCAGTCATTGGGCTGGTTAGAATGCTCATCTTACATTGGAGTACTGGGTTCGATCCTCAGCTCTGGCTGCTGATCCCAGCTCCCTACTAATGCAGACCTGGAGAGCCAGTGGTAATGACTCAAGTACTTGGGACCCTACCACCCACGCGGTGTTCCTGGTTGCAGCCCAGCTATTGTGTGTGTGTGGGAACTAAACCAGTGGATGGAAGCTCTCTGTTGCTCTGTCTCTAGGAAAACAAAAACAAACTTGATATGAAAAATAAGGCAGGAAGAGACCATGTTTAACCAAGTTTAAGATACCTGCAGGCCGGCGCCGCGGCTCACTAGGCTAATCCTCTGCCTAGCGGCGCCGGCACACCGGGTTCTAGTCCCGGTCGGGGCGCCGGATTCTGTCCCGGTTGCCCTTCTTCCAGGCCAGCTCTCTGCTCTGGCCAGGGAGTACAGTGGAGGATGGCCCAGGTGCTTGGGCCCTGCACCCCATGGGAGACCAGGAAAAGCACCTGGCTCCTGGCTCCTGCCATCGGATCAGCGCGGTGCGCCGGCCGCAGCGCGCCGGCCGCGGCGGCCATTGGAGGGTGAACCAACGGCAAAGGAAGACCTTTCTCTCTGTCTCTCTCTCTCACTGTCCACTCTGCCTGTCAAAAAAAAAAAAAAAAGATACCTGCATCCCACATGAGAGTGCTTGGTTTCCGTCCCTGGCTCTGATTCCTAATGTCAGCTTCCTGCCAACTCGGACCCTGGGAGGCAGCAGTGATGATGCCTGTAAGTAGACTCCTGCCACCCCAGGGGGAGACTTGGGTTTTATTCCTGGTTCCTGGTGCTGGCCTGGCCCAGCCCATCACTACATGTATTTGGGGCGTGAACCAGCAGATGAGGATTCCCTATCTGCCTCTCAAATTAAAAAAAATTTCAAATGTATCCTTCCTAATTTCTAACAAGTACTAGTACTGTTGGGTAGCCACACTCACAAGAACTCAAAGACGTACGTGTAAGAGGTAAATCTAGAAAGCTCTGAAGAAAATAGGGTAACAGACGGATTCGTTGGTGGTTTCTTAGATGTCACCCTCACAATAAAGGAAAATAAAATCAGACCTCATCAGAACTGGAAACTTGTGTTTCAAAGAGATACCATCATGAAAGAGAAAAACAATCTCTTGAAGGAGAACTTTGCAAATCATTTAATAAAGGACATAACTAGAGCATACTTTAACTCAATAATCAAAGGACAACCAATTTTAAAATGGGTAAAGTGGTGGGCATCTTGGCACAGTAGTTAAGACGTGGGAATGTGTGTAGTTAGTACTGCAGTGGCTGGATTTGAATCGTGGCTCCATATTTTTTTTTTTTTTTTTAAGATTTATTTGAGAGGTAGCGTTACAGACAGAAAAGACAGAGAGAAAGGTCTTCTGTCCGCTAGTTCACTCCCCAAATGGCCACAACGGCCGGAGATGCACCATTTTGAAGCCAGGAGCATGGAGCTTCCTCCAAGTCTCCCACGCGGGTGCAGGGGCCCTAGGACTTGGGCCATCTTCTACTGCTTTTCCAGGCCATAGCAGAGAGCTGGACTGGAAGAGGAGCAGCTGGGACTAGAACCAGCATCCATACGGGATGCCAGCTTCTCAGGCAGAGGATTAACCTGCACCACAGCGCCAGCCCGCTGGCTCCATTTCTGATTTCAGCTTCTTGCTAACATATACCTTGGAAGGCAGCAGGTGATGGCTGAGGTGATTAGGTCCCTACCACCCATTTGGAAGCCCTGGATTGAGTTCCAGCCTCCTTGCTTCAGCCTGGCCTGGTCCCACCTGTTGCAGACATTGTGGGGATGAACCAGTGGATAGAAGATCTCTCAAATTTAAAACTCAATTATAAATTATTATATAAACTATATATAAGTATACAATATAAATTATATAGATAATAATAAATAAATAATATGAATAGGTATTTCTCCAAAGGAGATATATAAATGCCACACAGCACATGAAGATATATGTTCAGCATCATTAGCCATTAAGGAACTACAAATCAAAATCATGACGTCACATCACTCCTACGAGGATGGCTATGTTAAAGAAGAAACCTGGGGGAATTGAAACTTTCTCTGTTAGTGAGAATGCAGAATAGTACAGCTTACTTTCCTCAAAAGGTTAGTTACCTATGATCCTGGAATTCTGAAATATAACTCAGAAAAATGGAAACGTGCACACAATTTGTATATGAGCTTCACATTGGCACTATAAATAGCCAAAAAGCAGGGGAGAGAGGGACTAAAGTGTTCACCAACTGATGAATAAGTAGAAATATGCTATATACATAAAATGGGTCATACAGCAAATCTATATTTAACCTTTTAACAAGCCACCCAAACCTGCAAGTGCACCGTTTTGCATTTCAACCAGCAATGTGTAACAGTTCCAGTCGGTCTGCTTCCTTGCCAGCATTTGGTATTGTTAGGTTTTTTTTGGGTTGGTGGTTTTCTTAATTAGCCATTCTAGTGGGTGCGTGGTGCTATTTCACTGTAGCTTTCATTTGCATTTTCCTAATGATAACGATCCTGAGCCCATTCATACACTTATGGTCATCCATTTCTCTTCTCAGGGGAAATGTCCAAGTAGTTTGTCCACATTTTGGAAGGTTGATTGTTTTTATTTTATTTATTTATTTGTTTGAAAGGCAGAATGACAGAGAAGGAGCTTCTTCCATCTGCTGGTTCACTCCCTACATGGCCACAACAGCTAGCTGAAAGCCAGAAATTCCATCAGGGTCTCCCACATGGGTGGCGGGACCCAAGAACCCAAGTACTTGGGCTATCATCTGCTGCCTCCTAGGTGCACTGGCAGGGAACTGGATGGAGAGTGGAGCAGCTGGGACTCAAACCAGCACTCTGAGATTTGGGAGTCCCAAACAGCAGCTTGACCTGCTGCACCACAGCACTGGCTCCTCGTTGCTTTCTTATTGAGCATTAGTTATACAAAGAGGCTTAAAGTTCCTGTAAAATGTGCATGATGAAAAACTTGTATAGTTTTCCATTTGTTTGCAACAAAATAAACATCTTTTAATTCTGCTTTTCCACAAAAACTTTTTTGAAATTTTTATTTGAAAGGCAAAGAGAGCACCCATCCACTGGCTCACTCCCCAGGTGCCTGCAGTGGCTGGGACGGGGCCAGGCCAAGCCAGGAGATAGGAACTCAGTCCAGGCCTCGCATGTGGTGGCAGAGACCACGGGACCTACATTGCCTGCTTTCTCCCAAGGGGTGCATTCATAGGCAGGCAGAACCAGGAGAGGTGCTGGGACGTCAACCCAGGCACTCCAGTACGGGAAAGAGGCACCTTAACTGCTCTGCCAAAGGCCTCTCCCACTCTCTCCCCTCCACTTTTTGATGTAACCTCTTATTTTCTGAATATAAGCCCATGATCACATGTTGCAAATATTTTCCCTCTGTGGCTTTTTATCTTCTAGTCTTTTGCAGAGCATATCATAATTTTGATAACTATAATTTTCATTTTTTCTTCTTTCAGGGATCATACTTTTTAGTTTATATGAGAAATCTTTGCCTCGTCCAAGGTCTCAGGGATTTTTTTCTAGCTATCTCTGGTAGCTTTAAGTATTGCATTTTTTTTTTGAAAGATTATTTCTTTGAAAGAGTTACACAGAGAGAGAAGAGGCAGAGAGAGAGAGAGGTCTTCCATCCGTTGGTTCACTCCCCAGTTGGCTGCAACGGCCAGAGCTGCGCCAATCCGAAGCCAGGAGCCAGGAGCTTCTTCCGGGTCTCCCATGCGGGTGCAGGGGCCCAAGGACTTGGGCCGTAGCAGAGAGCTGGATCGGCAGTGGAGCAGCCGGGTCTTGAACCAGCACCCATGTGGGATGCCAGCGCTTCAGGCCAGGGTGTTAACTCATTGTGCCACAGCGCCGGCCCCTAAGTATTGCATTTAAGTCATGATGGCTCCATTTTCATTCCACTTTGTGGTATAGTATGATCTGAGGTCCATATTTGTACATATGGATATCCTAACACCCTTCCCCCACTGAGCTACCTTTGTGCCCTTGTCAAAAGTGACCACGTGTACATGCACGTGCATCTGTTTCAGCATGCTGTCTTTATTCCACCGATCTACTGTTTCACCAACACCACAGTCTTGATCATCCTAGCTTTATGTTAAGTCTTGAATTTAGGGGCGTGTCCTCCAACGTAGTTCCTTTTCCAAAAGCATTTTGGTTAGGGGTGTGCATTGTGGCACAGTAAGTTGAGATGCTGCTTTTGATGACTGCGTTTCCTACTGGAGTGTCTGGAATCAAGTCTCGGCTCCAGTTCAGATCCCGCTTCCTGCTAATGCAGCTGGGAGGCGGCAGATGGAGTTCATTGTCCTGACTGCAGCCTGGCCCAACCCCTGCAGTTATGGGCATTTGGGGAGAGAGGAGCAGTGGATGGAAGATGCAACTGTCAATCTGCCTTTCAAATAAAATAAATAAAACTTTGAACAAAAAAAGTCTTGACTATTATGGTTGTCCTTTTTCATACAGATTTTATAATTAACTTGTCAATTCCTATAAAAATTCCTGCTGGAATCTGGACTGGAGTTATATATTGAATCTCTAAGCCAACCTGAGGAAACTGCTATCACTTCCAATCCATGAGCATGGGGTCTCCCTCTTTAGTCTTTTTTGATTATTTTCCATCAATGTTTTCTACTTTTAAGCATATAGATATCATAAATACTTTTGTGAATTTTAAGTTTTCTGTTTAAAGATTTGCTTCTAAATGTTCACTGTTACTATGTAGAAGTATAATTGACTTGCTAAACTCACGTATTAGTTTTAGTGGCTTTCTCCTAGATTTTTTTGGCTTTTCCATCAGATCACTCATCTCTGGGCCTTTTTTTCCTCCCTGCCTGATTGTATCAGCAATACAGTAACCTCAGACACAGTGCTGGATAGAAGTGCATTGTTCCCAGTCTTAAGAGGGAAAACATTCTGTCTTTACCATTAGTATGTAAACTGTAGGCTTGTTTTCTTTTTATAAATGTTTTCAGGTATATAAATATTTTAGTTTGAAGAATTGTTTTTTAGTCATAAATGGGTGTTGACATTTCTATGCACCTTTTGACGGAAAATTTTTGAGATGTCATTCACATAATTCTAAAGCATACTGCTCAGCAGTTTCTCATACATTTGCAAAGTCATTTTCTGCAACTTTTGAAATGATCACTCAGTATTTCTTCTTTTGTACGTTAATACAGTGAATTACACTGGCTTATTTGAATGTTGGGCCAACTTTTATTCCTCTGATAAAGTCCATTCAATCATGATGTATTTTTTTATATACTGCCAGATTCCATTTAGTAGTATAATAAATTAGTTCCATTAATATCCTTGTGATCTTATAACAAACATTACTATGAATACACTTACTGTTTCTGAACAGAATCTAAGAATGGCTTAAATGCTCCCACAAAATTTACCATTTAGGAAAATTTTAATTAAAAAAATTCTGTATAGTTTTCCTCATAACATCAATTGGATCAAATAAAGCTACATATTACTCTACAGATGATAAGACGTGTATGATGAACACACACACACATACACACAGGCCTTAAGTAACTTACATAATAGAGAATGACTCCAATAGTACAGAAGTTGGCGAACTGGCTTCCCCCCGCTTTGAGTGGCTGCTCTGGAATTCCAATATAAAGTTGTTAAGGTAGGGCTGAGGACCTGGTTTGAAGCTCTCTAATTACATAACAGGTAATCATTTTCTTAACTATTTATGTTACAGAGTAATAAAAATAGAAAAATTTTCTAATGGTATTTTTATTTGCATTTTACATAAGATTGAGAATATGTCAGTTGTCCAATACCCAAAAATGTGGAAGCCAAAACAGTATGCCCCCTGCCCTCCCCAGATCACTGTGCCGCTGTTACTACTAAGGTTCGATTTTCCAGAGCGCAGAGGTGAGATCCACAGGCTGCTTTTACTTCTTCATAGAGGAGGGAATAAAGAAAGGTGGTCTTTGTGACACAAGAAAGTGGATGGAGTTTCTGCATGTAAAGTGGAGAAAATATATACTCTCATTTCAAAGCAATTTAATCAGGCAAAATTTCAGTTGTTTTCAAAAGTAATGTCAAATTTACTTGAGAATTAGATAATATGAAAGGGTTCTTGTATGTGGTTAAATGTGGTGTATTTAAACTGAAGAAAAAATGCAAAACTTCTTTTTTTACAGAATAGTATAAATGTTTATTTTTCTGTATGATTTTTCTTCACTGTCCTGTTTTTTACAATATAGAAAAGTGTATTCTTTGAATAGCTCTAGTAAATATAAATTTAATTTTTCTACTTTGGGGTGTAAATAGAGCTAAAAAATTATATACCCAACCCTCCCCAAAAAGTCTTTTAAAATTGTTGAGTTAATGTGGCTATTAATCTTGTTCAGCAATTTGATGCAAATGCCTAAATACAAAAAGTCATTTAGTAAGTACTACCCAGGAAGGAAAAAAGGCTTAATACTTAAGATAGCTTCTTCTCGAAAATCAGAAAAACTAGTAGCATTTGATTGCACCTTCAAATTTTTACAAGCAAAACATTCTCAAGCAATGCCATCATACATAATCTACAAATGGAATTGAAATTCCACAAACACTTTCTGCACACTGTATATAAATACACATCACAACAGGGCAATTAGAATTAACACAGAGTATGTACAAAATGAACAAAATTTAAGTTTAGACCAAAAACTTATTGCAATCTTTTGAAAAATAACTTGATTAGATATTACTTTATTCTCTTACACTAATTTACATTTATACAAATTTTAATTAAACAGACTAGATTGAGGTGCTAAGAATGTTTGCACTATCTACACTTAGAGTTACTGCACTATAATCTTATAAATCCAAATTTCAAAAGGAAGATATTTTAATGAATTAACGGAGTCCTCTTTTGGATTACTTATATCTACTGCCTATATCTTGCATGTTCACAGGAACATATATACACAATACATCCATCTGTAGAGTCCTTGTAGAAGTGTCATAATCACACACTAACAGTTACTGAGGAGTAAGGTACCGAAGGAAATGCCTGAATTCCAACATCTGTTTTCTTGTAGTAAAATCAAGAGTCCTATTACAACAGGCTCCTCAATTCATAGTTTTTGAATTTCTGAAACTGATTTAGGTTATACTGGTGATTCTATGAAAACACGCCCTCAGCGTACTGAATCACTGGCTAACTAACAATGATGTCCTAACTAAACTTCCTTCCAGAGGGAATTTCCCTACAATTTTGAAAGCTTTATCAGGAGGCCGCTTCGGGAAGTCAGCTATGAGTTGGGCAGGGGTTTGAAACAGCTGAACTTCAGTCTACAAAGAGGTATGTGTAGGCGGAAAACCCTCCCCTAAATTCATCTCTTACAGATTCAATATTCTTTATTTCTCCATCTGAGCCAAATTCTATACTTGATAATGATGTGAGGTTCTGTTATACTGTGTAATAAGAATCTACTTACATTAACAAGCACCTTTCATTTTAATAGTACCCAGTAATCACTCAATTTATTATCATTTCAAAAATATACCACCTCTTTGAAAGAAAATGGAGACATCCTACAGTATTTATCTAGAAACACAATGCCCATTCTCTGAGAATTATTTACTGTTCCTTAATGTTTTATATATTTAAAAAAAATAACCTTTATTTTAAAAGTGTGCCTGGGGACTGCTTCCCCTTTTGAGAATCTCAAAGTGACCACAAGATATTATTTGAGAATTTGCCCTAAAAAGCTGATTTTTCTTAAAACAATAGTGCGTTTCTCAACACAGCATGTCATCAGGATACGTTTCATAAGAATTTACGTAGACAGTCTATCTGTATACGCTGTGGATCTAGTACCAAAGAATGACTGGGTAATGCCAATGCTGCTTTGGCTTTTTCTACTGAACAAAGTCATACAACGCCATATATTATAAATTATATTATAGTAATTTATAAATGTTCTTTGTCAATAGAATCAGAAGAATAGAACATCTAATTCTTAGGAAACCCAAGCAAGTTAAAACTCTATAATACAACAAAGAAAAATTCAATTTAGAAGGGGCATAAGGAGATTTAACTAAGATTTAAAATGTACTAATTTCCTCATTAAAATTTCCTCTCTTTCAATATTATAAGTTCAGGTCTCTTAAAACAAGGACTGATTTAAAATACAGTAATTGCTGAACTGTCTTCCAGAGGATCAATGTCCCCGCACCCTCAGTTTGCTGTGCAGTCCCGTGCAGCCGGCTCCCGCGCAGGAGTTAGCAGTTCATGGCACAAGGGTCACTTTTTGCTTTTCCTGCAGAGTTGATGACGCTCATCAGGCATCGTCCGAATTCCTCAAGTATCATCCGTTCCGCTGCGGCCTTTGATTTTCCCTTCTTGTCTGCCTGCTCGGCCTGGGCGAGAAGGCAATTACACGTGGCTTCAGCTACTTCCTTAGTGACAAATGTAAACGGCAACCTGAAGAGATTTTCGAGAGAGAGAAATAGTTGATGACAGTGCTGAGTAAGAACAAAAGTGGGCAACAGTCTTCTTTCATCTCAAACTCTGGTGACACCTGCACAGTGGGTGTCACAATTTGCACAAGGAGCACGAGCACTTTCCAAGGTCGATCTGACTTTATTACTAAGCATATTTTAAGGATATTGTATAGGAAATAGAACATTTATGACTTATTACCTAGACAAGGTTACCTTTAACTAAAAGATGTAATTCTAAGGGTAGACTAAAATTTCTATAACTAAAATCCACCCATGAATTTAAACTTCATGGGTCCATGCTTTGTTTAATGTTGTGTTATTCACTGTTTCCCCAGCGCCTAGAATAGAGCCAGGCCATGAATATTTGCCGAATGAATAATTAATATTGGATCCTGGAAGCCTTTCTCCCACAACACTGAAAACAAAAAACAAAACCCCTCATATTTTTTTTTTAAGATTTAATTATTTACTTGAAATCAGAGATCCTCTGTATATAAAGATAATTAAAAAAGAATCTTAATGAAGAATGGGATGGGATAGGGAGTAGGAGATGGGTGGTTATGGGGGGAAAAACCGCTATAATCCAAAAGTTGTACTTTGGAAATTTATATTTATTAAATAAAAGTTTTCTAAAAAAAAAGAAAAAAGGGAAAAAAGAAAGTTACACAGAGAGAGAAGGAGAGGCAGAGACACAGAGAGAGGTCTTCCATCAACTGGTTTACTCCCTAATTGGCCACAATTGCCATAGCTGTGCCGATCCGAAGCCAGGAGCCAGGAGCTTCCTCTGTGTTTCCCACGCGGGTGCAGGGGCCCAAGGTCTGGTGCCATCTTCCGCTGCTTTCCCAGGCCACAGCAGAGAGCTGGACAGGAAGTGGAGCAGCCGGAACTCAAACCGGTGCCCAATGGGATGCTGGCACTGCAGGATGCTTTACCTGCTACGCCATAGTACTGGCCCCCATCATGTTGTTTGTAAAAAAATAAACAGAAAAGGGCTGGTTGGCTATACTGGAGCCAGGCCAAGCCTTAAAGCCTGAAAGAGGTTAAATCAGGAAAACTAACCTAACCACAACCTCAAGAACCTGTTTGTGAGCAATCACTGACAGAAGCAAGCTCAATGCTAAATAAAGGCAGCTGGAATCCAGGCCATTATAACGAGGGGGTAACTGAGGATTCAGGCTACCTACCATACAGCTGTAGGGAAATCTTTAACATGCAGAGCAGCACTTTAAATTAGAAAACATTGTAACAGCTATAATTCATTTTATAACAATGTTCATATTATATCATTGCATAATTATTATCGCTGCATAATAAAAATGATTATAATAAATCATTTGGAAACTATAGAAAAGTAAAAGGAAAGGAAAATAAGTTGGGGCCAGTGCTGTGGCGCAGCAGATTAAAGCCCCGACCTGCATCACCGGCATTCTATATGGGCATTGGTTCGAGTTGTGGCTGCTCCACTTCCGATCCAGCTCTCTGCTAATGTGTCTGGGAAAGCAGTAGAAGACGACCCAAGTCTTTAGGCCCCAGCACCCACATGGAAGACCCAGAAGAAGCTCCTGGCTCCTGGCTTTTGATCAGCTGAACTTTAGCCGTTGCAGCCATTTGGAGAGTGAACCAGCAGATGGAAGACCTCTCTCTGTCTCTCTCTCTGCCTTTGCCTCCCTGTAACTCTGCCTTTCAAATAAATAAATAAATCTTTAAAAAAAAAAAAGATAATGACATGCTATGAAAAACAATAATTCAAGGGTTTTGTCATTCAAAACAAAAGCTTAACCTACTAGAATACTTAGTTTTTACACACTTTTGATTATCCCAAATAATTTTGAGTTCTCACAACATAGCATGAACATTTTCCCCAAGTTGAGACATTAATTATAAATATTTTTATTAGCAATTTTTAATTCTTTCAATATTTGTCATATTTTACTGTAGCTCTATCTATAGTCTCCACATGGAGGTGAGATTTAATAATCTAAAGGATTATTAAAGACCAGAAAGGATTCCACCTAACTGACGTATCCACCCTTTTCCACTTTATTCAGTAGAGTACCACTTGCTGATATTAAGTTGTAAGTGATCTTTAGAAATACTATCTGAAACATTTTCTACCCCCAACAAAATCCTTACTTAACCACTAAAATTTTTTCTAATATGGATCCAAGTGCAAATTACAAACTACATTGCATCAGGCTGACAATACTGGGAACAGAAATGATCACCAGGAAAGGGCTTTTTTTTTTTTTTTTTAAGATTTATTTATTTGAAAGAGAGAGAGAGAGTCTTCTATCCAATGACTCACTCCTCAAATGGCATGCAATGATCACAGCTGGGCAGATCTGGAGCCATGAGCCAGGAGCTTTGTCCGGGTCTCCCATTTGGGTGTAGGGGCCCAAGCACTTGGGCCACCCTCCACTGCTTCCCCAGGTGCATTAGCAGAGAACGGGATCAGAAATGGAACAGCTGGGACTCGAACCAGCACTCATATGGGATGCCGGTGCTGCAGGCTGTATGCACTAAGCCACAGTGGTGGTCTTGAAAGGGCTATTTTAAGAATAAGAAAACTGAGGCCCAGGAAGATGAAGTGTTTAATTCACAAACTACTAGAGGCAAAGGCAGTATGAAACTCAGGTCTGCCTGACTTCAAGGGTTACACAGGTCTCACTAGGTCTCTGTTTTTCTCTGCCTTTCAAATAAAATGGAAATAAATACATTTAAAGGTCAAGCTTTTTTACTCCAGAGCTCAGCAGTCTAGAGAAAAATAAAATAAAGGACTATGATATTATACAGTGCTGGGTGGTCCAACTACTAGGGAAAGTACTCCAAGAACCAGAAAAGGCAAGAGAAGGTAAGAAAATGCAAAAATGTGAACCATTATGCCATCAGGTATTAAAAAGCTGGCTTTCTTGGGGGCAGTGCTGTGGTCCAGTAGGTTATGCCTCCACCTGCAGTGCCAGCATCCCATATGGGCGCCGATTCTAGTCCCGGCTGCTCCTCTCCAATCTAGCTCTCAGCTTTGGCCTGGGAAAGCAGAAGAAGCTGGCCCAAGTCCTTGGGCCCCTGAACCAGTGTGGGAGACCCGGAAGAAGCTCCTGGCTCCTGGCTTCGGATCAGCCCAGCTCCAGCCTTCACGGCCATTTGGGAAGTGAACCAGCAGATGGAAGACCTTTCTGTCTCTCCCTCTCACTGTCTGTAATTCTACCTCTCAAATATGTAAATAAAATCTTAAAAAAAAAAAAAACACCTAGGTTTTCTTATGGATTTCTCTACAGATGTGCATGTTTATTTGAAAGGCTAAGCAACAGAAGGAGAGAGGGGGAGAGGCAGGGAGGGAGAGAAGGAGAAAGAGAGAGAGTAAGAGAGAGACTCTCCCATCTGCTGGTTTACTCACCAAATGAGCCCAACAGCTTGGCAACAGCCAGGTCTGGGACAGACCAAAGCCGGCAGCCAGAAACTCCACCTGTGTCTCCCACATGAGTGGCTGGGGCCCAAGTACTTGGGCCATCCTCTGCAGCCTCTCCAGGCACATTAGCAGGAAGCTGGATTGGAAGCTGGATAGGACTGAAACCAGCACTCCCACATAGTGCCCATGTCATAGGCAGTGGCTTAGCCTGCTGTGCTACAACACTGACCCTGGGAAGGTTCTCCACCCCCCCACATAAATCTTTTATTTAATGAGTATGAATTCATAAGTACAGCTTTAGGAATATAGTGATTCTTCCCACCATACCTGCTCTCTCAGCCCAACTCCCACCCCACCTCCTCCTCCCTCTCGCATTCCCAGTCCCATTCTCCATGAAGATTCATTCTTAATTAACTTTATACACAGAAGACCAACTCTATACTAAGTAAAGATTTCAACAATGTGCACAACACACACACACACACACGAAACTGAGACCAAGTTTTACAGTTAACTCTCATAATACAACTCATTGAGTACAAAAGTCCTGCATGGGAAGTAAGTACACAGTGACCACTGTTGTTAATTTAACAATTAACACTTATGTATGACATCAGTGATCACCCAAGGCTCTTGACACGAGCTGCCAAGGCTATAGAAGCCTTTTGAATCCATAATCTCCATCACCCTGGAAAGTTCTTCATCTTAGTAGGGAAAAATCCAATTAAATTAAGCATGGCAAACTAAAGCATTACCACGCATTTTAGAATTACACAGTCTGACAGTGGTTTTCCTGTTACCTTTAAATTCCCTGACAACAAGTAACTAACAGTGGAAAGAAAATGTAAACCACAAGTTTACAACAACCAAAAATATGAACTCAAATTTGCCCAAAAAAAGGAAACTTTTCCAAAACTGAATATTTGAGAGATCCTATAAGAGAAACAAATATTGGCTTAGACTTACTTCCCTCCTCCACTGTTCAAAGTAGGTGCTGGCCTAGTGAGCAAGTCCGAAATTTGGGAGGACAACTTGGTCTTCGCTGCCGTTTGCTGCTGCACCCGGACTTCAGCTGCATCCGCCAAGTGCATCAGTGTCTTTCTTTCCGGGCTTTCTTCAAAATTCTTACAGCCAATACATTTGCATATTGAGGAACACATTATTTTTGCCTAGAAATTTATAAAATAAAGTTTCCATAAGCAAATAAAAAAGTTGCTGCAAGTACATTTCACAATCAAATGAACAGCTTAAGAGTATTTCAAAAGTTCACATAGAAAACTGGAAAGTAAGTTTATTCTACAGTAAAATTATTCTTTGTGAAGTAGCCTCAAAAACAGCAGTATCTGGTCAACCGGCATAAGATTCGATGGAAGTAGCTCTTACTGACAAACTAAATGGGCGACTATGCACATGAAGAGGTCAACCTCTCTGAAGTGGAGGGCTGGCTGAACAGTGTTTATGCTTGAGTCCTCCCATGTGACCTTCTCCCCCCCAGCAATTAGATTTTTCTTCCTGGTATGAATAACATGTATTTCATAAAGAATATGATTGATATAGTATTAAAAATAGGGGTTACTCAAAATCCAACCATCTTGATCAAATCAACATTAATATATTGGTGACCCCCCCCAATTACATAAATATACACATAACTTCCTATTAAAGGCATTTCACAGATGCTTTTTTTTTTTTTTTTTTTTTTGACAGGCAGAGTGGACAGTGAGAGAGACACAGAGAGAAAGGTCTTCCTTTGCCGTTGGTTCACCTTCCAATGGCCTCACTGATCTGATGGCAGGAGCCAGGTACTTATCCTGGTCTCCCATGGGGTGCAGGGCCCAAGCACTTGGGCCATCCTCCACTGCACTCCCTGGCCACAGCAGAGAGCTGGCCTGGAAGAGGGGCAACCGGGAAAGAATCCGGCGCCCCGACCAGGACTAGAACCCGGTGCGCCAGCGCTGCAAGGAGGAGGATTAGCCTAGTGAGCCGCGGTGCCGGCCCACAGATGCTATTTTGATTATGGTTACTTTCCTTCCGGAATTCTCTCCCCAGACTCCCCAAATTCACATTAAAGCAGTCTTTCCTTCCATGTAAAAATACATAAAATGGAAGTATATTCATACATAGACCGTCTATACATATACTAACAGAGAATTCTTTTCATTGTTTTAATTAGTTTCACAAAATCACATGCCAACTTTTCTGCATCTTGCTCTTCTTACAGTACAACTCTTGGAAATCTTTCCCTCGAAATCATTTGTCAGGGCCTGAATTCATTCTACCTGATGCTTGGGTGTCAAGGCCTGGAAGATGTGCCACATTTCATTGGGCACTGATTGCCTGATCGATGGGTATTTGTTTCCAGTTCCTGGGCACCTACCATAAACAAGGTATAGAATGATTTATGTTTTTATTTCTCCAAGCAAGATTTCTAGAATTAGATTCACTCACCCAAAGGTATATGTATTCTAATATTAAAAAATGTGGCTAAGTTGCTTTTCCCAAAGGCTGTGACACCTCACTTCTCATTAGCAATGGATAAAAGGAAGCCTTTCCTACATTCCCTCCCACAATGGCTATTATAGCTCTTGATAATATTTTCCAATCAGATTAATCTACATTTCCCTGACCCATAGTGACTCTGAGTATCTCTCATCAGCTGCATTTCCTTCAGTGAGTTCAAGTCAATTTAAATTAACAAAATGACTGTCCGTGCTCTCTGTACTGCCTAGCAACAGAAAAGTACTACATTATGAGCAAATTTACTCTGTTCCTTTTTAATAATATACCATAAAATCCACTTCCCAAAGGAATAAATGGATATTCATTTGAGTTAACTGGGTACCATGAGCCAGTCTAGGAATCTAACTAAAGCAACTTTTAATAAGCATCTTCTGCTGAAGACAGAAACTTTCTCACCTCAAGGTGGAGGAGACGTACTAATCATACTCATTTGGATCACGTTTTCTGTTTTGTTTTTCTTTCTAAGATTTATTTATTTGAAAGGCAGAGTTACACCAGGAGCCTGGAACCTCTTCCAGTTCACCCACATCAGTGCAGGGGCCCAGGGACTTGGGCCATCTTCTGATCGGAAGTGGAGCAGCCGCTACACTCAGTGCCAGCCGCTACACTTGAACCACTACACGACAGTGCCAACCCCTGGATTGTTTCAAAACCATAAGAACCATACTCATAATGTCTACCAGGAGCTCAGGAGGGAGAAGTTATAATGACAAGGCATCCACTGAGCTTTGCTAACACAGCTTCTCCTGAAGATAAAGGACAAAGAAACCCAGAGAGGAAAAAGGTCACAAGAAAAGATACAGGGGTCAGTGACGTGGCGTAGTGGGTTAAGCTGCTGCTTATGACACCAGCATCCAACACCAGAGTGCTGCTTTGAGTCCTGATGCTCTGCTTCCAAGCTAGCTTCTTGTTAAAGCTCCTGGGAATAGCCGGCGCCGTGGCTCAATAGGCTAATCCTCCACCTTGCGGCGCCGGCACACCGGGTTCTAGTCCCGGTTGGGGCGCTGGATTCTGTCCCGGTTGCCCCTCTTCCAGGCCAGCTCTCTGCTATGGCCAGGGAGTGCAGTGGAGGATGGCCCAGGTGCTTGGGCCCTGCACCCCATGGGAGACCAGGAAAAGCACCTGGATCCTGGCTCCTGCCAGGATCAGCGCGGTGAGCCGGCTGCAGCGGCGGCCATTGGAGGGTGAACCAACGGCAAAGGAAGACCTTTCTCTCTCTGTCTCTCTCTCTCACTGTCCACTCTGCCTGTCAAAAAAAAAAAAACTACGAACAAAGTATTCCTTCTGGGAAGGCAGCAGAAGATGGCCCAAGTATTTGGGTCCCCGCCATGCATGTAGGACACCTGGGTGGTGTTCTTGGCTCCTGACTTTGGCCTGGCCAGACATGGCTATTGCAGGCATTTGGGAAGTGCATGAAAGATGGACCTCCATCTCTTCCTGTCTTCTCTCTCTCCCCACATTATTCTGCCTTGCAAATAATAATAAATAAATATTACCAAAAGAGAGACACAACCATTTAAATAATGTGGACAGCCACCTATCCAATCAACAAAGCTGAAGGCATGTGAAAAGAACATGAATGTGTAGTCAATTGAAAACCAACTGGACCAAAAACACAACTCAACTGAAGACCCAGGTGTCAAAATAACAGTAACTGGGCTGGTGCCGTGGCTCACTAGGCTAATCCTCCGCCTGCAGCACCAGCACTCCGGGGTTCTAGTCCCGGCTGGGGTGCTGGTTCTGTCCCGGTTGCTCCTCTTCCAGTCCAGCTCTCTGCTGTGGCCTGGGAGGCAGTGGAGGATCGCCCAGGTCCTTTGGCCCTGCACCCGCATGGGAGACCAGGAGGAAGCACCTGGCTCCTGGCTTCGGATTGGTACAGCGCGCCGGCCATGGCGGCCATTTTGGGGGTGAACTAATGGAAGGAAGACCTTTCTCTCTGTCCCTCTCTCTCTCTCACTAACTCTGCCTGTCAAAAACAAACAAACAAAAAAACACAGTAACTGGATACAAGCTGTCAGATATTGCAGCTAAGTCTTTGTGAGCCACTTAGTTATTCATAGTTTTGTATATATTTCAGCTTTCCCCACTTTTTGAGTCATGACTTTTGGAATGACCAATTACTTCTAGACATTGTATCCCTCTATGACACAATTTCCACTAGAATAGATATGGGCAAGTTTTTCTCTTTGAACACTACCTTTTCTACTTCTATTAATTCACAAATTTGTTAACCAATTCAATGATTAGTTCATATGTTTGAATTTCATATGCCCACCATGCCACTGATTGTTCAATGCCATATATATGAAGGGGCGGTTTTGACTTTCTCACTCAGCTTTTTACCAATTTCCATTTTTTCCTTTTTGTGGATTTGAGAGCTTACCAAACGAATTGCTTACATGTTAATTCTTATATATATTCATGACAACCTTTGTATGGTATGGTCTATAAACACGAGCCAACATTGATCATGTATCCAAATGGAAGAGTCAAAACATTCCAACACTGGATGAGAACTGGACTGCTGGACTTTTGCGATGTTATTTTTAAGACTTTCAAAAATAATCCTGACTTTATAGAAATTTCATTCCTATTAATGTTTTTTTTTTTTTTTTTGACAGGCAGAGTGGACAGTGAGAGAGAGAGACAGAGAGAGAAAGGTCTTCCTTTGCCGTTGGTTCACCCTCCAATGGCCGCCGCTGCAGCTGGCGCACCGCGCTGATCCTGGCAGGAGCCAGGATCCAGGTGCTTTTCCTGGTCTCCCATGGGGTGCAGGGCCCAAGCACCTGGGCCATCCTCCACTGCACTCCCTGGCCATAGCAGAGAGCTGGCCTGGAAGAGGGGCAACCGGGACAGAATCCGGCGCCCCAACCGGGACTAGAACCCGGTGTGCCGGCGCCGCAAGGTGGAGGATTAGCCTATTGAGCCACGGCGCCGGCTTCATTCCTATTAATGTTAACAAGATGTTATTCTACTATATTATTTTACTTCTGAAGTATAATATTTGACCTTTTACACAGATAAATTAGAGAAGAATTCATAACACAGAAAATACAGCACATGAAACCTTTAGCATGACACGTGCTATTTGGGGAGAGGGTGTGGAACCACATGACGTGCTCCTGAAGCAGGGAAACCTGACCAAGGGAGCATGCAGTCACTGGTGGAGTCACTTTCCAAGTGGAAGCCTAGGCTTTTTGCCAAAACTACAGGGAAAAAAAAAAGCCTCCCATGAAGAAATAAATTCACAAGAATGAAAATATAATGAGAGGAGAGGAGCCAGCTGTGGGAATGACTCAACTCAGAAGACTGTCAGTAGAGTTTGCAGCGTACCAAGAAGCCAGTTATGGTAACCTAAGGTTTATATCAGGCATTAAGCTTTGCAAATAAAAATGCAAAATCAGATAGCACATTTTCTGAAACATGAAGGGGATGATTTACATAGCATCTGTTAAAGTCGAGTTTTTCATTTTTTTGTAAGATTTGTTTATTTATTTGAAAGAGTTACAGAAAGAGAAGAGGAGAGGGAGAGGGAGAGGGAGGGAGAGAGATCTTCTATCCACTGGTTCATTCCCCGGATGGTTGCAACGGGCTGGGTCTGGGCCAGGCTGAAGCCAGGAGCCAGGAGCTTCTTTGGGTCTCCCACAAGAGGCCCAAACACTTGAGCCACCTTCCTCTGCTTTCCCAGGATCTTAGAAGGACATGAACCAGCATCCAAATGGGATGCCAGCAATGCAGGCAATGGCTGTACCTGCTACACCACAATGCCAGCCCCATTTTTATTATTGTTATTATTTTATTTATTTGAAAGACAGAGTTACAGAGAGAAGTAGAAAGATAGAGAGAGAGAGGTCTTCCATCCACTAGCTCACTCCCCAAATGGTTGCAACGGCCAGAGCTTGAGCGATCTGAAGCCAGGAGCCAGGAGTTTCTTCTGGGTCTCCCATGTGGGTGCAGGGGCCCAAGGACTTGGGCCATCCTCTGCTGCTTTCCCAGGTGCATTAACGGGGAGCTGGAATTGGAAGTGGAGCAGCTGGGACTCGAACTGGTGCCCACAAGGGATGCCAGCGCTGAAGCTAGGGCTTTAACCTGGTGCCACAGCACCAGCCCCACCAGCCCCACTTTAAAAATATTTATTTATTTGAAAGGCAGAGCAACCAAGAGAAGGAGGAAGGACAAGAGACAGAGCCAGAGACAGAGGTCTTCCATATGTTAGTTCACTTTGCAAATGGTCCCAATAGCCAGGGCTGGGCCAGGCTAAAGCCAGGAGTCAGGAACTCCACCTGGGCTGCCCATGTTGGGGGTAGGGGCCCCAGTATTTGGGTCATCATCTGCTGCCTTCCCAGGCACATTAGCAGGGAGCTGGACTGGAAGTGGAGCAGCAGAGACTTGAACTGGTGCTTATAAGGGATGCCAGCATCACAAGCAGTGGCTTAACCCACTGTGCTGTACCACTGGCCTCTCAAAGCAGAGTTCATCTCTTCCAGAAAAGATGCCTGGCCCATAAAAAACAAACAAACAAAAAAAACAAAAAACAAAAAACAGTCAGCTGTAAGGGACACTAAAATAGGGAAGTGGATGCAATCACCTCACAGTGACCAGTAACCAATGAATCAATAATCTGTACTTATCTTTGCCTATTGTTTTGCTCACAAAGCAAACTTAACACTGTTTAGTTTAACTTCCCACAGAATAGTATTTTTTTAAAAAAAGATTTATTTATTTTTAAGGTCAGAGTTACACAGAGAGAGGAGAGGCAGATAAAGAGAGAGAGAAAGTCTTCTATCTGCTGGTTCACTCCCCAGTTGGCAGCAATGGCTGGAGCAGAGCCAATCCGAGGCCAAGAGCCAGGAGCTTCTGCAGGTGCAGGGGCCCAAGGACTTGGGCCATCCTCCACTGCTTTCCCAGGCCATAGCAGAGAGCTGGATTGGAAATGGAGCAGCTGGGACTCGAACTGGTGCCCATATAGGATGCCGGCACTGTAGGCAGTGGCCTTACCCGCTACACCACAGTGCCAGCCCCAGAACGGTATTCTTTAAGGAGGCACTCCTGGCCTTTTGGTTTAAGATAACCATTACTTTTAGCACTACCCTATGGAATGGAGGCTAGCTTGTATGCAAGTACCTCCTAGAAGTCTGTGCAGAGCAGTAGGGAACACTCGCCCTCAGCTGAGGACCAATGTTGCAGGGTCCAATCCACTTTGAAGTTAATACTTTTATTGAAAATCAATATACTGGTGCTCTGATTTGCAACTTGCCAGGTATAATGACCAAGAAGTTCTGAACTGGTAACCAGCTGGTCCCAAGCCATGGGACCTCTGCGGCCTGCCTGGGAGGCTAGGAGACCTTCCTCATGCAAGGACCCCTGGGCCAAGTGGGCACATGTTCAGACTGTAGGAGCAAGATGATTTCCTAATTTGCAAGCAGACTGTTGTAGTATGTCTTTATAAAACAGCTTTCAAAAGATTGTTAGATCATTTTCCCCAGCCAGCATCTCACCTCATAGCATTCACAGTAGTTTTTAAGACATCCCGATCGCTTGCAATTACATCCTTTGCTATGACGTCGATCTGATTCTCCCTCCTTTCCTTTCCCGATCTTAGGCTTGAAGGCTTCTGGATTTCTGTCCAGGCATGCCTATCAAAACAGATCAAATAGCAACTGAACTTGAAGCACAGAATATTACATTTAAACATTACAAAGGGAATTAATATTTTTCCTTATAAAACAATTGCATTCTTCAAAAAACAAGTGAAACTAGAGATTCCTTTTAGATGAAATTTAAAAAAAAATCACCTTTATTGCTTTTTGTCTTTCATTTTCATGTTCCAAATTATTATAACAATTAGTACAATTGCAGTTGTTGCAAAATTCACCGTTTGCAAAGCAATCACAATATCTGAAAGGTAAAAATCAGTATAAGGTTAACAGTCATTAAACAAAACCAGTAGTTACCTGATGACATAAGTATGCATATATAATGCATGTATTTTGTAGACATAGTATATATGTGGTAAAACATTTAGAAACTATAGTCAGGTCCACCTAGTTACAGAGTTAATACATACTGTCAATGACACAGTAAGGCTTAAAATTTAAGTCACCAACTAGAATGTTGGCCTAGAAACTGAATCCAACCAATAATAGTTGTCAACACAAGAGCTGTGTGATTTTCTGTGGTCCCAAAGTAAGTTATTCCAAAATCCTGAAGAAAGAAAAATACCGGTTATGGACCTGCTCACTTGAGCGAAGTAGTGCTTCTCCGGATCCTAGGCCCCCTGTGAGAGCAACTGCTCCATATCTGATCCTTTAGTTTAGTGAAAATAAGCAAATTAATCATCCAAAGCCTTTCAAAATTCCCCAGGGGGTGAGCATATATCTTAGGCATTAAGACAGGGCTAGGGTGTCCCTGTCCCATCAGCGTCCTGGAGTCAAGGCCCAGCTCTGCTCCTGACTCCAGCGCTCTGCTCACGCACACCTTAGGAGGCAGCGGTGATGGCTGCAAAGGTTGGGCCCGCCCCATCCACTGTGTTAACTCCCAGTTCCTAGCTTTGTAAATTAAAGAACAAAACCAAAAATTACCCTCACCTGGGATTCTGAATACAAAGGCCAGAGATCAACTCAGACTTATTATGAAGAACAGAAATGTCATCTGTCTCATGCTCCTGTGTCCCTGATCCCCACACCAGCGGCTCATGCGAAGACTCTAAGACTTTTTTCCAAATGACAGGATATTTTCCCACTGCCTTCTGTGCTCCAGCATTCACTCGGATGTTCACTTAAATGACTTAGACTTATGAAACCAGTTTGCTAAGAAGTTTTAGTTAGCTTTCATTTATTTTTAAGAGTACTTCCAGTTATATCAAATGAGCAAACACTTACAATTTCAAGCACAGGGATTTTGTACAATTACACGGTTTTCTGGGCCGACTTGCAGACTCTGATGGGATTATGCTGTACAGAACAGAACGAAGACACACGTTTTCATCAATTAAAGTGTCTACTTAAAATTGAAAAGTCTCTAAACCGTAATTCTTCCTAAAATAAATCTGTGACACACATTCATCTCTAATAAAAATTTGCCATGTATTTCATGTCCACTAAGTTCAAAGGCAAGTTGTAAGATGAAAAGAGAGGTGAAGAACCAAGATCTGGAATAGCTTTAAAAAAACAAAGGGGTAAGTTATTAATAGGTGACAAAGAACACTCCACATACTCTTGTGAGACCTGAGCCTGGATCAAGGTGTAACTATTTTTAATTAGGCCTCCATCTTGTAACTTGGGCCTGACCAGGTCCTGAACCCTAAGCCAGAAGCTCCTAAAAGTAAATAAATGAACTCCCCTTGCAATAAACTCCCCTAGCAACAGCCGATTAGCAGATAACAGAGAAATACCTAGAGTTCCTGGTGTCTTCTCAGGGCCAATAAGGTCATTAACAGCTTCCTGAGACCCTGCAGTTGGGCACGTACACCCCAGCAGCTTGGACCCTATGCCTCGGCCAATCAATTCAAAAGGCATCAACCCCAAAGCCATCCAGCCACCTTTAGTAGGTCCGTTCCCGCCACTGGATGCACGAATCAATTCTAAGAGATGTCCTTGGAATTTCCCGCGGGATGAGATGATTTGCTAAATGGTACCATGATGTATAGAATGTCTCTGAAAACCCTATAAAAACCCTGTTCACTGAAGGGTCGGGCTCTCAATTCAGACCCGCTGCATCGGTGTTGACTGAGAGTCCAGGCCCGGACCTGCAATAAAGCTCTCGTGTGCTTTACAGCGGTATCGGCTCCTTGGTGGTCTTTGGGGATGACTGAACTAACTGGGCATAACACTCTTCCTTCTGAGAAAAAAGTTCAAGCTTCCTTAAAACTCTCAGGGTTCAATGATAAGAAGTAGTTAAGGTAAAGAGGTACACAGACAAACTGGAGGTGGGGGTACGGCCTGGTGCCATGTAATTAACTAAGCACTGCATCCAAACTGGTATTGCTAAGGCAGCAATTAGCAGATTAACAAACAACAGCAACCAAAACCCAAGGACCTAACATAACGATTTACAAACAGCATCCTCATGGTAAAACGCTACTCAGAATGAACAATAAAAATGTGGTACAGCTGATGAATCTGCCACAGGGCACTGAGAGCTGGGTGATTATTTAAGTCTGCATTTAAGCCGATTCAACAACTTCATTTAGATATTTTCAAAATACTCACCCATTGAACGGGAGCCTTGCCTGGGTCTGCACACCAGATGTGCCAGTGAAGTTCGAGTTGCTTGCTATAGACACATAGGAAGACTGCTGGAGCTACAGGTAAAGGAAGGTGACTTTAGACCATATTTGCAAAAACAGGCTATCCTCTCAGATATAATCACCAGGAAGAAGCCCAAATTCAGCTACTAACATAGGAAAAGCATAATGGAGAATTTCATACAAACACTTGCCTGTGGAGTTCTCTTAAAGACCCTCACCAATTCTAGAGGTGAAAATAATGTGAGTATCTGACAGTACTATGTGGTACAAATACAAGAAATTATTTCCTGGAGAAGTATGTCAGAAACTCTCGATGAAAGCCCTCAAAGTATTGCAATGCTTGTATTGGCTAGACCAATGCAATGTGCCTATTTGCAAATAAAATAGATACTACACTGATTGTCCCCTTACATTTCTTTTTTTTTTTTTTTTAAAGATTTATTTATTTATTTATTTGAGAGTCAGAGTTACACAGAGAAGCAGAGGCAGAGAGAGAGAGAGATAGAGAGAGGTCATCCATCTGCTGTCACTCCCCAGATGGCCGCAACAGCCAGAGCTGTGTCGATCTGAAGCCAGGAGCCAGGAGCTTCTTTCACGTCTCTCACACAGGTGCAGAGGCCCAAGGACTTGGGCCATCCTCTAATGCTTTCCCAGGCCATAGCAGTGAGCTGGATCGGAAATGGAGCAGCCGGGGCTCAAACCTGTGACCGTATGGGGTGCCAGCATGGCAGGCGGCAGTTTAACCTGCTACACCACAGCGCTGCTCCCCCCTACATTTCAAATCATAGAGAATGCATAATATTTTCTACTGATTTCTAAACTTTAGAAATGTCAATGATAAAAATATGGAATCATTATTCATCAGTAGCCACATTTCTCCAAAGTGCATTTCAGTATACACGTTAAGTTTCTGTTTCTCTCTCTCTCTCTCTTTTTTTTTTTTTTTTTTTTTTTGACAGGCAGAGTGGATAGTGAGAGAGAGAGAGAGAAAGGTCTTCCTTTTGCCGTTGGTTCACCCTCCAATGGCTGCCACAGCTAGCGCGCTGCGGCCGGCACACCGCGCTGATCCGAAGGCAGGAGCCAGGTGCTTCTCCTGGTCTCCCATGGGGTGCAGGGCCCAAGCACTTGGGCCATCCTCCACTGCACTCCCTGGCCACAGCAGAGAGCTGGCCTGGAAGAGGGGCAACCGGGACAGAATCCGGCGCCCCGACCGGGACTAGAACCCGGTGTGCCGGCGCCGCTAGGAGGAGGATTAGTCTATGGAGCCGCGGCGCCAGCTCTCTCATTTGTTTTTAAAATATTTGTTTATTTGAAAGGCAGAGTTACAGAGAGAAGGGGGAAAGAGAGACAGAAAGAGACAGACAAAAAGATAGCCTCCATCCACTGGTTCACTCCCCAAATTAGCTGCAACGGCTCAGGCTGGGCTGACCAAAGCCATGAGCTTCTTCCACGTCTCCTATGTAAGTGCAGGGGCCCAAGCACTTGGGCCATCTTCTGCTGCTTTTCCAGGCAGCTTAGCAGAGAGCTGGATCAGAAGCACAGCAACTGGGATATGAATGAACCAGTGTCCATATGGGATGCCAGTGTCATAGGTGGCAATTTAACTCACTGCACCACAACACCAGCTCGTTTCTCTTATAATCTGGGTCGATCAATTCAATGCTTTAGATCACGGTGCTAATTTGCCTGCATGCATGAGACTTCCATGTGCTTCATGGAAGCAGCACCCCCATCCCAAGCCAGCCAGCTAGTACCTGACTTTCCTCCTAAAGACAACCAGATGAAAGGCTCAGATCAGAAAGCAAGTCACCCACAAATGCATCTCACGGCTTATCTTCCAGGCAATGTCAGAGCCATCGTATTTGTGTCTTTATGATAGAAATTCTTAAAAATTCATTTGGGCTCTGCTGAAATAATTTCAGTGTTATTTTTTCTCCTATCTATACAATATTACCCTCATCAAGCTGTTCTTAGGTCCCAACTATCTTACTCCTGTATCTGACTTGTATCATATATTTCTAAGTGCAGAAGACACACAGAAATAAACCCAGAAGTTTTGGCTGACATTTTCAGATTTTGAAAACAGCATTTTAATACTGAGTTAAGCTTTAGAACGTGATAGTGCTAGACATCTGAGACTCAGTTCTCCTTGCTGACACACAGTGGCTTCATTTTTCCCGCATACCTGAGTAACGTACTGAGCTGGAAGCACTGCATAGCCCACGTTCCCTGTCCCTGGAGCTGGTGCCAGCACAGTGCCTGGTGGCAGGTTGGTGAGGTTGGGTTGGATCTGTGGCAGTGGTGTGGCAGGCATGATTAACCGCTGCTGGGGCTGGCTAGTAGTCACTATTTGTGAACTTGGATTGATTGGCTTGGGGACGACCTAAAAATAAGGGAAACATCAATAATAATACCGTATTTTTACAGCTGCCTAGTTCAGTAGAAGTCGCTTGCACCTAACTCCTAACTTTCAATGTGAACAGTAAATTGTTTGGAAGAGACTGAGAAGAAAAGTCGCATGATACTCACTTGTTTGACAGTCTGAGCTGGAACAATTGGAACTGACATCCGCACTGGGGTAGTATTAACAACCACTGGCTTTGCTTTTTTAAAAAAGGAAAAAAAATGAACAATTTATTTATAGAAATAATACTCAAAACAGTTATAAATACTTGGCTTTCTTGTGTTATCTTCATGAAGGAGCTAAAGAATCCCACTTGTTTCCTACTATGAGCACTCTCTAATCAGGATAGTGGTTCAAAATCGATCCTCCCGAGGTCGCTGCAGTCTATCCACTGTAAGAGGGACTCTTTCGGGGGCCCGCACTGTGGTGCTGAAGCTTAAGCTTCCACCTGCAGTGCCAGCATCCCAAACAGGCACCAGTTCAAGTTCCAGCTGTTCCACTTCCAACCTAGCTCCCTGCTAACGCGCCTGGGAAGGCAGCACAAGATGGCCCAAGTATTTAGGCCCATGTACCCACACTGGAGACCCAGCTGGAGATCCTGGCTCCTGGCTTTGGCCTGGCCCAGCCTCAGCCATTGCAGCCATTTGGGGGAGTGAATCAGAGGATGGAAGATCTCTTTCTCTCTTACTCTACCTTTCAAATAAATGAAATAAATCTTAAAAAAAAAAAGAAAAAAAAAAAGAAAAGAGGCTTTAAAGTCCTAAGATCTATAGGGCTCAACCCCCAGCTCTGCTACTTTCTAAACACATTTACTTTCTTTGCCTATATCCTCACCTGCAGTATGGGCAGTATCTACCTTATAGAGCATAAGGATTAAGTGTGTTAGTTCATGAAAATTGATTAGAACAGTGCCCAACAAATAGCAAGTGCGCAACAAGAGTTGCCATTACTGTTACTGTTGTTATTATTATGGCATCACTACTATATAAATGGCACTGTAGCCATTGTTCTGGGGAAGCGAAAATACAAGGCACCTGCTCTCAAGGAGATTACACTCTAGTCCAATTGATTTGGCAAGTACCCAAATGCGATCGACACGACTAAAGAAGATGAAGCGCTGTGGGAGTTCACAGGAGAGAGACTATTCATCGCGCTGCCCAAGGCTGGGACAAAGGAGACAGTGCATGGAGGGTGGAATATGGAGGTGGGCCCTGACCCACAGGCAGGCCCCAGAGAGGGCACACAGCCGGAGAAGGGCATGCCAGGCAAAAGCAGAGGCCTAAGTGCAGGCGCAACCCTGGGAAGCTGCAAAGCATCTTCACACGATGCTGCTGAACAGACCAGTCGGGCTGGGACCTAGAGTTAACGCAGACAAACACGGGCAAAAGGCAGACGGCAGGCATTCTGTTGAGGACCTTGGATGTCAGCGTGGAGGTCTTTGTGTTTAATCCGTTTTTGTAGTTCAGTAGGGAAAGAGAAGTTTCTGGGGACATTTAAGTACTGGAATATTACTGGACTGGTACAGAAAGAAACTTATTTGACAGCAGTGTGTAAAATGGGATTGAGTTGCAAGAAATAAGACAAATCAGAAGAGCACAAAAGTATGGGTTTGGGGTAACAGCACTAGGAATGAAGGGAGCGAGCAGACCCAAGAGATCTGGAACACGACGTAGTAACCACTCAATGTCGGCACCAATGGGCATCTGCGAAGGATGAGTAAGTCGTTGCCAAGTGACTAAGCAAATGACAGTTATTTGAATAAAAAACTCAAGGACAAGCTGACTTGAAGGGAGGATGAAATCTGACCAGGAGAAATGCTGGGATGAAATGCAGGAAAGAGGTTGGTACCATGTGTTCAGATGTAAAGAAGAGCAAACTTTAAAACCGCTCATGGCATTCCCAGTCTACAGGAGGGACCTACAAGGGTAGAAAGGACATCTCTTCAGCTTTCATTTTTGCCAGAGTAAGGCCTGGAGGTTGATCTGAGACAGAAGTTGAGATAAGGGAATCTAAATTGCTTTGGACAGTAAGTGAAAATGAATAGACTTCCTTGGACAGAAAGGCTATTGTGGCATGATCAGACTTTTGACTTCTGAGAGGAATTGGAGGGTTGATGGCTAAAGATAAAACTGAGGGGCTGGTGCTGTGGCACAGCGAGTTAAAGCCCAGGCCTGCAGTGCCAGCATCCCATATGGGCATCGGTTCTAGTCCCGCTGCTCCTCTTCCGATGCAGCTCTCTGCTATGGCCTGGGAAAGCAGTGGAAGATGGCCCAAGTGCTTGGGCCTCTGCACCCATGCAGGAGACCCAGAAGAGGCTCCTGGCTCCTGATAGGCACAGCTCTGGATGTTGCAGCCATCTGGGGAGTGAACCAGCGGATGGAAGACCTCTCTCTGTCTCTACCTCTCTCTGTAACTCTGTCTTTCAAATAAATAAAATCTTTTTTTAAAAAAGAAAAAGATGGCTGGCGCCGCGGCTCACTAGGCTATTCCTCCACCTGTGGTGCTGGCACCCCGGGTTCTAGTTCCGGTTGCTCCTCTTCCAGTCCAGCTCTCTGCTGTGACCCGGGAGTGCAGTGGAGGATGGCCCAAGTGCTTGGGCGCCTGCACCCACATGGGAGACCAGGAGGAAGCACCTGGCTCCTGGCTTTGGAACGGTGCAGGGCCGGCCGTAGCAGCCATTTTGGGAGTGAACCAAAGGAAGGAAGACCTTTCTCTCTCTCTCTTTCTCTCTCACTGTCTAACTCTGCCTGTCACAAAACAAACAAACAAACAAACAAAAAAACAAAAAAACTGAGTCCTGGAAGGAAACATTAGAAAGAGGGTACTCTGATCAAAGAGACAGCAGGCTGCGCAGCAAGGCGACAAGCGAGAGAATAGAAGTACCCCAGAAAATGAGGGCTGCACAGCTCTGTGAAGATACTATAGTCCAGGACACTGCACACTTTCAAAAGTGAATGCTGGGGACAGCGCTGTGGCGCAGCGGGTTGATGCCCTGGCCTGAAGTGCTGGCATCCCGTGTGGGCGCTGGTTCAAGATGCGGCTGCTCCTCTTCCGATCCAGCTCTCTACTATGGCCTGGGGAAAGCAGTGGAACATGGCCCAAGTGCTTGGGCCCCTGCACCCACGTGGGAGACCAGGAGAAGCACCCTGCTCCTGACTTCAGATGGGTGCAGATCCAGCAGTTACGGCCACCAGGGGAGTGAACCATCGGATGGAAGACCTCTCTCTCTTTTTCTACCTCTCCTCTCTCTGTGTAACTCTTTCAAATAAATAAAATAAATATTTTTTAAAAAGTGAATACTTTGGCATGCATGAATTATCTCCCAATAAGGGTGTGATTCACAAAGAGCATATGACCATGAAGTATAGCAGCAGTGACATATGATAGGAATTTGACGTCGTTCCTGTTCTGATTCTCTTTGCTTGCAGCCAAGCATCAGGAAAGTTCTAATAACCATTGCAGATGAGACTCCACAACATTAACAAGAAGTGAAAGGTGAGCCAGAAATCACGTGGTCGCACAGGAGAGTGTACTCCCTCTTCCACTTGCTTCCTGGAGAGGTGACGATGTCACTGTTCTGAGCACACAGAGCCATATGTAGTGAGATGTACTAGCTCCTGGTCAAAGGGGCCTGACCTGCCCTGGTCACATCACACAGGGGTAATGTCCCTGCTCCCACCCTGCACAGCATCACACACACACATACACACACTCCCCTAAAAAACCCAGGAACTCAAGTTTACATAGGCTTCGCATCTGTACACTTGGGGGAAGGAAGACAACATGAAGCAAAGTGGTCAGGAAAGAGAACACTATGAACACGCCGGGAAAGGGCTATTACATAACTGAGTCCTCAGCCTGTACTTTCTCTTCTTCCTCACCTTAGTGCACAGAGTTAACTATCACTGCAGTTGGCATGATCTTCGACATTTTTAGTATTTAACAGGAACGATGGGCAGTCTTTTGGAACATCCTGTTTGCAAATTTTGGAAACCATAACTGCAAGTGTTGCAGGCTTTTTAATATCTTTAAACTGATTTCCTCCCTCTCCAAGATGGAGTCTCCTGCGTTCCAGTATGCTACTTGCCACAGAACCAGGAAGAGCAGGCTGGAACCTTTGAACACTGGCTCTTGTTCAGTTTTCTAGGGAAGCCCAATCCCTTTTGGCATTTAAGTAAGCACCTCTTGGGAAATTAGGCCCTCAGAAAGACACATGAATACATTTGGTGAACTACAGCAACAACATAATGTATCTTCAATAAAACTGTAAACTTAAATTCTCTTGCAAGATAACATATACTATATATATCCAGACCTTTTATGGCACAGGAGAGAAAGACAAAAATGTAAGTGGATAAAAGAAAAACTGCATAGGTGGGTGAGTGGGTATAGAGAGAGGGAGGTGACAGAAACGGGAGGCAGTGAGAACAGAGATGATATTGGAACACAAAAAGGAAGATACAGGATGGCAGAAGCAGGGTGAGGGACGCCAAGACGCAAACAGAGAAAGAGGGGAGAGAGAGGCAGAAAGATAGGCATGAAGTTGGCAGAGAAGTTACCAGGAAATATATTAGAATTATGAAACATCCAAGTACCTCTCTACTCTCCCTACATCTCCAGTTCCCTACTGTAGTATACCCAAGGTTTAGTCCAGTTAAGGAGTAAACCAGTGTGAGCATCACACTGGAAATGGGTTCTCAGGGTTCTGTACCCTTACACCCATACACACACACACACACACACACACAATATAACCAACTGGATGAGTATCTCATGACTGCTTTAAGTGGACTGGATTTGTAGAAGTTCTCTTATGGCCCTGCTAAGTGTAAATACTGAAAGAATATAAAACTTGCCTTAGCAATATGCAGGTTTTCCTTCTATCTTATTAGGATCACTATGACAAAGATTTTCTTCCAAAGTTAGTTTGAAGGGAGATTAAAACATTATTGCTTGATATGTAGAATTTAATAGAATACATGACAAAAAGAAATAGCTTTTCTCTCCTGTAGTTTCTTTCAGGTGAACTAAGCATCAACAATGGGCAGCTCCAAGCTTTTGAACTTTTAACAAAAATGGAAAAGAAACCACCTGGTCCTTAATTCCTCTATTCATTTTCTATAAACAATAAATCACTCACTTGCCATCAGTTGGTTTTTGAAACTGCTGGACAGAAACCAGTCTTTCAAGGAAAAACTTATGCCATAACCTGATCCTTTCAGCTCCCCTGATCCTTTTAAGTCATTCAATTTTTTGAAAAAGAAGACAAATAAGGAGAAAGGTTATGTATGTGTCTGTGTATCAGGTGTAAAAATAGTTAAACACAAACAAGAAAACAGAAGGACAACAAAGAACACCCTCTAGGAAAAATACAACTGAGTAACTAATAATGCATTGTAATTGCTTCTTGTTAGTAATTACAGATTCCACCTCAGTAAAAGGTGAATGATATTAGGTTCTTATTTATTTCAACTGACGCACAGTTTATCAAGGGGCTACATAGTTAAGAAAACAAAATAAATAAGTTGGTCCATCTAAATCTGTCCCACTGGCAAAAATCGCATTTTTTAAAGATTTATTTATTTGAAAGGCAGAGTGTCAGTGACAGAGAGAGAGAGATTATCTTTTGTCTGCTGGTTCACTCCCCAAATGGCACAACAGCAAGCGCAGGGCCAAGATACAGAAGGAGCCAAGAACTCCATCTGGGTCTCCCAAGTGGGGGGCAGGAACTCAAGCACTTGAACCATCATCTGTGCTTCCCAGGAACATTAGCAGGGAGCTGGATTAGAAGTGGAGAAGCCGCCGGCGCCGTGGCTCAATAGGCTAATCCTCCACCTTGCGGCGCCGGCACACCGGGTTCTAGTCCCGGTTGGGGCGCCGGATTCTGTCCCGGTTGCCCCTCTTCCAGGCCAGCTCTCTGCTATGGCCAGGGAGTGCAGTGGAGGATGGCCCAGGTGCTTGGGCCCTGCACCCCATGGGAGACCAGGAAAAGCACCTGGCTCCTGGCTCCTGCCAGGATCAGCGCGGTGCGCCGGCTGCAGCGGCGGCCATTGGAGGGTGAACCAGCGGCAAAAAGGAAGACCTTTCTCTCTCTGTCTCTCTCTCTCACTGTCCACTCTGCCTGTCAAAAAAAAAAAAAAAAAAAAAAAAAAGAAGTGGAGAAGCCAGTATACCAGTCGGCACTGAGATATGGGATGTGGATACCCAAGTGGCAGCTTAACCCACTGCACCGTAACGCCCGCCCCCAAAATGGCAGGTTTGAAAATCAGCACTAAAATGGCTAACCACAAATTAATGAATCATTATGATCATCCTGTATTACAGAACAGTGTACCCACCTCCAGCAGAATGAAATACTACAGTTAGATGCAACCACAATTTTTAACTGCCTTCTACAACCACAGCTAACTGAAACTGCCCGCTGAAGTGCCACACTTACCCAGGATTTCAGCAAGAAAAGGACCACATTCTGCAGTCATGTTAAAACAGTATGTACTATCTGGGGAAAAACGGTTACTAACCTTGCTGAAGCGGCTGCGTATTTGTACTGGGATTCTGACTGGCTGGCTGTGTGGAGCTACTGGCTGTTGTGGCAGTAACCAGGCGCACATAATGAAACTTGCTTCCAGGCACTTGAATCTGCTGGACATTGGGAGCAGTTGCCAGAGGAATGATCGTCTTAAACTGAGAGGTGCTCACGCCTCCGACAGTGATGGTCTGCACGGCTGACTTCACCGCCTAGGAAACAGTACAACACAACATGGTTTTTGTTCATCTGGAATCTCACTTTTCTTCTGCTTTTAACTTAGGACACTCGCCCAAGCAATAAAGTATGCTCCCGTATTTCATCAGAAGCTGTTGAAAGGAAATCCTGTTCAAAGAGAAAGGAAGACAATAGTAGTGAATACAAGTTTGAAACCGAAATTAAACTTCCTATCTTGATATTCCACCAGATTACCAGGTCAAGTGACTTGCTATAAAGAAATTATTACTTAATTTGCAAGAACTAGTTTTGTTAATATCAGGGAAAACAAATAAACTTATAAACTCTCAGAATTAAGTTCCACTTCAATAGGAAGAAAATAAAGATACTTGGCTTTATTTCTTTTGCTTTATTTTTTTAGGAGGGAGGGGCTTTATTTCTACCCACCAAATTAACTAAACGTATTTTATATTCACATGCTCTAAAAGCGAAACTCAAAAGAAAAGCCCACCTTCCACCCTCCTTCAGTCTAGACAACTGTGAAAGGCTTGTAATACTTCCTAGATACAGAATACCTATTAGCATACAGGCAGGAAGCCAAATTCAGTCCACAATTAGCCCAGTTTTGGTTGTATAAGGGACAGTTACCAATCTTGGGTAGATCAGATCTGAGTCAACACAATCATTTTCATTAATTTTAAGCCTTTCCTTCAGTCTGACAGAAAGCAGTGGGTCTTCCTCAAAATCTGCATGAAACATCAGGCAAAGCAAAGCAGGAGTCTCCTGATGTCCTACTGTGCTGCACTCTGTCATCCAAAGCAAGGCCACAGGATACGCTCGAGCAGCACAGCATCACCTGTATCTTACGACAGACCTGTAATCCACACATGCATGTATAATTACAGGTATGTAACTGCATTCAGATTATATCCCCACCTATTCCACAAGAAGCCCTCATGCTAAAAGACAAGGGACATATGATGGAGGAAACATGCATTCACTACATGCATAAGCATTTATGAAGGAAGAATTCTGACATTTTTAAAAATTCTATAAAAGCCCAGGAGGAAAACTACAAATGCTGTTTAGTAAGGATATTCTCTTGCAGTTTCAGAGGATTACTTCAGCATCAAATAATTCACGAAGTATTAGGTTGAGGCACCAAAAAGCAGTTTCAAAATAAAGGTAAGAATGACCTGAGCAGTCAATGAGTTAAATGAAAACCAAAAGGCAAGAGATAAAAGTATAAATTTGCAACCTACTGAACAAGCAATCGGTCTACCAGACAAATATGTACAATGGCACAAGAGTCAGTCTCTGTCCTCAAGGTGGAAAAAAAATATTACCATAAGATATAAGGTGCTTCAAATATAATAGTCACATTTATTAGCTATTTAATACGCACCTAGGATGGTGCTAAAAATTTCTACAGAAGACTACCTGATTGAAATCTAGCCATAACATTACTAGGTAGACATAGTATTGTACAAGTATGGGGCTAATCAATTTTGCTTGGTTTACTTTTGCTATCTCTTCCTTGAAAAATAAGTTTTATCGTGTATATTTAAGTAGACACATGAAGCAAAGGGATACAAATAGATAATAAAATGGTTACTATAGTGAAGCAAGTGAATGTATCCATCTTCTCACACAGCTGTTCATTTTTGTTTCTTTTTGTGGCAAGAGCAGCTAAAATCTACTCACTTAGCAGGAAACCTAAATACAATACCATTTTATTCCTTATGGTCCTCACTTTGATCACTGCATACATCTGCTACTTTATATCCTCTGGTTGTTATCTCCTGCCCCCCAACATACTTGCTACCTATTGCTCTACTTTCTATATCTGTATATTTGACTTTTGAAAAAAAAAAAAAGAGTTGGGGCTGGCTCTGTGGCGTAGCAGGTAAAGCCGCCACCTGCAGTGCTGGCATCACCGGTTCCAGTGAAGCAGAGGATGGAAGACCTCTCTTTCTCTGCCTTTCAAATAAACAAATAAATTTTTTTAAAAAAAGAGTTCACATATATAAGAAATAATGCAATATATTCTTTGCATGTCTAACTTATTTCACTTAGTGTAACACTCTCCAGATTCCATCATGTTATGGCAAATGGCAGGACCTTATTAAGACTAAATAATATTCCTGGCCGGCGCCACGGCTCACTAGGCTAATCCTCCGCCTTGCGGCGCCGGCACACCGGGTTCTAGTCCCGGTCGGGGCGCCGGATTCTGTCCCGGTTGCCCCTCTTCCAGGCCAGCCCTCTGCTGTGGCCAGGGAGTGCAGTGGAGGATGGCCCAGGTGCTTGGGTCCTGCACCCCATGGGAGACCAGGAAAAGCACCTGGCTCTGGCTCCTGCCATCGGATCAGCGCGGTGCGCCGGCCGCAGCGCGCCGGCCGCGGCGGCCATTGGAGGGTGAACCAATGGCAAAGGAAGACCTTTCTCTCTGTCTCTCTCTCTCTCACTGTCCACTCTGCCTGTCAAAAAAAAAAAAAAAAAAAAAAAAAGACTAAATAATATTCCATTGTATGTGGCAACTTCAAAAAGTTTAAGGAATACAGAATTAAAAGATGCTTATTTTGGTGCAAAAAATTTGAAATCCATGCAATTTTTCATAATATGCATTTTCTACAAACTTTTGGAAGACCCCCTTGTATATAATACCATACATTTATATCACACACACAGTTTATTCATCTGTCAAGGTGTGTTTCAATCTTGTCTATTGAAAATGCTGCAATGAACATGGGAGTGCAGATATCTTTACAAAGTACTGATTTCACCTTTTGGGGTACACACCCAGGAGAAGGACTGCTGGGTCATATGGTAGCTCTATTTTTTTTTATCTCTTTAGAAACCTCCATACTATTTTCCATAATGGCTTCAACCAATCTACGTTCGCACCAACAGAACACAAGAGTTCTCTTGTAGCTAGTGCTGTGGTGTAGACGGTTAAGTCTCTGCCTGTGGTGCCTGCATCCCAGAAGAGTACTGGCTTGGTTGCTGGCTGCTCTAGTTCTGATCCAGCTGTCTGCTATGGCCTGGGATAGCAGTAGAAGATGGCCCAAGTCCTTGGGCACGTGTACCCGCATGGGAGACCAGGAAGAAGCTCCTGGCTCCTGGCTTCGGCCTAGGCCAGCCCTGGCTGTGGCAGCCATTGATCTCTACCTCTCTCCCTCTCTCCGTTATTTCTGCCTTTCAAATAAATTTTAAAAAATAATATATTAGGGGCTGCTTCTGTGGAATGGTAGGTAAAGCCGCCGTCTGTAGTGTTGGCATGCCATATGGACATGGGTTTGAGTCCTGGCTGCTCCACTTCTGATCCGGCTTTCTGCTACGGCCTGGAAGGCAGTGCATATCCTCAAAAGTACTTATCTTTTGAGGGTTTGTTAAAACCATCCTAATGTAAGGTGGTACCCGACAGAGGCTGGGGCTTGCACTTCCCTGATGATACTGAGCACTGTTTCATGTCCATTGACTGTTTTTAGGTCTCCTTTGGAGAAATGTCAATTCAGGTCCTTTGTCCATTTTTTTAATCAGTTTGTTTATTTTTCTTCTATTGAGTTGTATAAGCTCGTTATAAATTTTAGATTTTAACTTCTTATGAGATATATGTTTGCAAATATTTTTCCCATTACCACAAGGCTACTGTTTCATTTTGCTGTTTACTTTGTTGTGCAGAAACTAGCTTGATGCAGTTCCATATATTTATTTTTGCTTTTGTAGCATGAATTTTGGTGTGATAGCTCAAATAGCATTGAAAAATGGTCACAATGCCAGACCTTGAAATGTCTTTTAAAATTGCGAAAATGTTTATACAGTTTATCATCATGAGTTTGTTTATATAATCCTAATTTCCAAACTTAGGTTGCTGCAATAAACAAACATACCAAGAAGCAAATTTTCAAGCTTTAAAACATTTGTAGGGGCTGGCACTGTGGTGTAGTAGGTAAAGCCACCGCCTGCGGAGCCAGCATCCCATATGTGTGCTGGTTTGAGTCCTGGCTGAGCTCCAATTTGGATCCAGCTCTCTGCTGTGGCCTGGGAAAGCAGCAGAAGATGGTCCAAGTCCTTGGGCCCCTGCACCCGTGTGGGAGACCCAGAGGAAGCTCCTGGCTCCTGGCTTAGGGTGGGGGCAGCTCTGGCCACTGCGGTCAATTGGGGAATGAACCATTGGATGGAAGACCTCTCTCTCTGTCTCTGCCTCTCTGTAACTCTGCCTTTCAAATAAATAAATAAATCTTTAAAAAAAAAACAACAACAAAACATTTGCAAGGTAAAAGATAAATGAGAAAGTAAAAAAAGATAAATACTATATGTTTTAAATGACTACTGACAGTCAAACCTTGTGATGGCTCTAAGAAATGATATATATTTGTGTGTATATATGTATTCTTGACATTTGTATGTATGAGTATATATATTAAACATTCCTGCACCAAAATAAAATTGTATTTGTAAAATAATTTTATTTTTTAATTGTTTGGGCTGGGGAGAGAGAGAGAGAGAGAAATATTGCAACCACTGGATCAATCCCCAAATGCCTACAATAGCTAGGGTTAGGCCAGGCCTCTCACATGGATCCATCACAGGGTTAGGCCAGGCCTCTCACATGGGTGGCAGGGATCCATCAACCTGAGCCATTCATCACCTGCTGTTTCCTACAGTGTGCACTAGGAGGAAGTTAAAGTGGAGCCAGGACCGAACCCAAGCACACTGCAATGGCACACAGGTATCCCCAGTGGTAGCTTAACTACTGCGCCAAATGCTTATCCTAAACTTATCTTTTAAATCCACTTTTCCACACATTTTTTTAAGATTTTATTTATTTGAAAGAGTTACACAGAGAGAGAAGGAGAGGTAGAGAGAGAGAGAGAGGTCTCCCATCTGCTGGTTCACTCTCCAGTTGGCAACAATGACTGGAACTGTGCCGATCTGAAGCCAGGAGCCAGGAGCTTCCTCTGAGGCTTCCAAAGCAGGTGCAGGGGCCCAAGCACTTGGGCCATCTTCCACTGCTTTCCCAGGCCATAGCAGA